ATGCATTGGGTAATTGAATGTATCCAACAATTAAATATCTCCCATTCGCCTGTAATCATTTGTAAATAATTAAAACAAAACTTATGTGTAATTTTTCAAGTACTGATATACTGTTTATAAATCAAAATTAAAATTTTATTTATAACTAGAATATTTGAAATACAAATATTTTATTAAAATAAAATTTTAATTTTAATTAATAATCAAACCTAAACAACATTACATAAGTTTTCAACTATAGTTTAATTAATCCAATCCCTTCATAATTCCACCATTAATTCTATATTGGGGACCCGCTAATTTTCTTATTTATATCAGACTGACTACCATACTCTTCTTCCATATGCCCTTACACTGAACACTTTCCCACAGTTTCTCTCTCTCACACTTTGCATTTATACACAACAGAATCATTCTCCTTTCTGCTAAAACTTTAACTCACTTTTCTTCATGGCTCTCTTTCTCTTTGCTATTTTAATCTTGATGGCCCCTTCAAGCAATGCCTACTGGCCACCTTCACCTGGCTACTGGCCTAGTTCCAAATTCAAGTCCATGAGTTTTTACAAGGGATTTAGAAACCTTTGGGGACCTCAGCACCAAAGACTAGATCAAAATGCATTAACAATATGGCTTGATAGAACCTCAGGTATGAATCTAATCACTTTCACTACATTTTGAATTATCTCTCTTTCTGGTGCATATCATAGAAGTTCAATGCACTTTCCACTGCTTTGTTTATGGTAAAACAGGAAGTGGCTTCAAGTCACTACGACCATTTCGATCCGGGTACTTTGGTGCTTCCATTAAGGTCCAACCGGGCTATACTGCTGGAGTTATAACTGCTTTCTATGTAAGATATGGCCACACAATCATATGATAAAAGAATGAGTTTGGTTGGTTAGAAGCTTACACATAGTATTAAGCTTATGAATTTATATTAGTAATTATAATGATTTGATTAATGGCAGCTTTCAAACAATGAAGCACATCCTGGTTTCCATGATGAAGTGGATATTGAGTTTCTTGGGACTACATTTGGAAAGCCTTATACTTTGCAGACTAATATTTATATAAGAGGGAGTGGAGATGGCAAAATTATAGGTAGAGAGATGAAGTTCCATCTATGGTTTGATCCTACCAAAGATTTTCATCACTATGCTATACTGTGGAGTCCTAAGGAAATAATGTAAGTCACTAAACATTATAAATGTATTTTTGAGTTTGTGTGTGAAATTGAATGCTTAGATTTTCAGTACTAGTCCAAAAGAGAATGGTAGACAAGGTAGGCACTACTTCCTTTTCTGCTGAAGTAGTAGGAGAGATAAAGAGAAATAGAGAATCTACAGTGTAAGCTTGGATTCGGTGTATGTGGCACTGTTTTGATTGGTTCTAATTAACTGCAATCACAGTTTAGGCACACTGATTGATAAAGAAATTTTATTCTTATAACTTTTTCTATAATTATTTCAATAAGTAGAAAAGAGATAAGAAGTGACAAACAGTGTAAGATAAGACGACTGATGTGATAAGAAATATAAATGAAAATATGTGTAAAAATAATATAACTATAGATTGAGATTTTAGAAGAAGAAAGGAAAAGAAATTTGTTTTCCCTGAAATTAATGAAGAAAGCAGATAGGGATTTGTCAGGATTAATAAATCATGTAGAAATATAGAATCAAGGTCACATGAATGGCACAAAAAACATAAGCATTGAAGTGTGGGGTAAACAAAATCTCATAGCACCCAACACTAATGAAAAGTTAAAAGTAACATTAGTTTATTGACCGACTAGTTATTTTCATGGCCACTTGGATACCTGTAATTATAAAATTATTATTTTTTAACGCGGGTCTAAAAACACATAATAAAAAAGTTACTAAATATTATGTAATATTACAGAATTATATGTATTAACAATATTAAATATTATAATTTTAAAAAATTGTTTTTTTAATACTGACATTGAATAATGTGCCAGATTCCTCGTAGATGATGTGCCCATAAGGAGGTACCCGAGGAAGAGTGGTGCAACATTTCCTCAGAGGCCAATGTGGGTATATGGTTCAATATGGGATGCATCATCATGGGCTACTGAAGATGGAAAGTACAAAGCTGATTACAAGTATCAACCTTTTGTAGCAAAGTATAGCAAATTCAAAGCCAGTGGTTGTTCAGCCTATGCCCCTCGTTGGTGCCACCCAGTCTCAGCCTCACCATACAAGTCTGGTGGGTTGACTAGACAACAACATAGGGCCATGAGATGGGTGCAAAGATACCACATGGTTTATAACTATTGTCAAGACCCAAAAAGAGATCACAGAGTAACACCTGAGTGTTGGGGTTAAAAAAATTGGCCAATTGGGGAAATAGCTTTTTGGTCTAAAAAACACTGTTCTCTTGTGATTTGTTTTGTTTTTTCCTTTCACAAAGTTTCATTTACATTATGGGGGTCACTTGAGATTGGGCCCCTCCGTTGGCAGTTACATTATGCAAAGTGTACGGGGTTGCCATCCAAGGCTCTCAAGACACGAGAAAATTTGGAAGATTGTGTGGTTTTTTTCTTTTTCTTTTTCTTTTTTGGGTTATTTATATTCCTTTTGGTGTAGACAAAGAAAAACAAAGATAATGGAGGAGCGAGAGAAGGGAATAATATCAATGTCCTATGAAAAGCAAAGTGGCCAATTTGTATGGGTCGGTGAATGTGGCACCATTGAGTGCGAATATTTTAATCATACTCTTCATTTAATATTGTTGTTGTCATTTTAATGATGAAAACGAGAACCTGTGTGTGTTTTGGGGAGAGGGGTAAATGTGTTATGCTCCAAGACTTACTTGTTTATTACCACCAGGGATAAGTTGGTTGCATGTAAATAGATCTCATAATAATTATGTAAAAGTTGTGGACCATTGTGGGCGGAAAGAAACTTAAAAAGAAGAGAAAAATAATGAGACTATGTAAATCATATAAAAAAAACATTTTATGTATAAATAATATCATTACCATTGTTAAGTTAATATAACCATTTTATATTTTTTTAATTTTTTAATAAAAATAAAAAAATCTCTGTCCTTTGGTCCTCCCCTCCCTCAAGTCGCGTTTATTTAGGATTTGGGGGTATTTTTTTGTGGTGGGACATATAAGAAAAAAAAAAAAAATCTCCCTCCTTGCTCTCATCCAAACTAAGAAAATTATTAAATTTCTTGCACTTTCTCCCTTACCCCTTAATTTCCATACATCCGAATATATCTTTAAGCAATTTCTATCCAAATTTTTATAGCATATAAAAATTGCTTCAAATTTAAAATTAAAGTAAGAAAATTAAATTTAAAATTATTTAATGCTTTTATGATTTTAAAAGCTCCTTTTTTCAAGGATTTTTTTTCCATAAAAATTACTTTTTACAAGTTTTCTTTGTTAAAATATTTATAATCTTAAATATTTTCATTTGAAGTTGCAAGACAATAGAATTCATAAATATATTAAAGAAAGTATTTAAAAGGTATTCTGTACAAATGTAATTTTTCTCTATTGTATTGAATAAAATATGTACTTTTCTTAACTTCTTGTAAACTAGTAAAGCGAGTACTGAAATTATTCCAATCATACGTGGGTGTTGTGTCCAAGCAGTCCAGGTCATAAACGAAGGCATCAAGATTGAAACAAAGCAAACGTTGAAATCGCAATCTACTGTCGAGAAAAAAAATTTAGAATCTACTGGCATTCTAAAAATTTGGAAAATATTACTCTTCCTCCAAATAATCAAGTATGATTGCTTGTTGAAGATGCACGAAAAGACAATAACGATGCATAAAGTGGAGGGCCATAATGCCGAGATCAAACAAAGGAGGTCGTTGGTGTAGAGCTTTTAAACCCTCAAGAGACTGACAATGATGGAATGTTTTTCCAAACGAGACTTTTAGGCATTGTTGAATCATAAACCTCTACTCCTTTTTCTGCATTTGGCATTTGTTTTTAAGGATTAGTTGCTCGGTGTGAGATGTTTTAATTGAATAGTTACGAATATAATATTGGTCCCAACGTATCATAATGCACCAAGGACAGCATTTTCCTAAAGAATCCTTTATCCCATGTAAATCAACGGTTAAGTAGAACATATAATTAGATAAGGATTATAAAGGACAACACAAACCACTTTTTTCTAGGCGTCTTCGGGAACGCAACTGCATCATATCCGCCTTTGGCTAATTGAATACAACAAATAAAGCTGTTATTCCCCATTTGAGGAAAATAATTGCAATTGTCATTTTTCTTTCTTAAGAAATTTGTTTTACCAACACTTAGATCGTATTTAAGCGAAATTTGATGAAAAACCGAGATATTAACAAAGACTTGATTATTTCTTCAATGCAAAAAACTACCCACATGAAATACATTATTAATTACGATTTCCTGGGGCTACTTTGTATTTAGCAATATGCTAATCAGTTCTCTAAAAGCATTGGATAAAAAATAAAAAGAAAATACTAAATAGCAAAGGAAGAGCATAGAAAAAACTTTATCGCTTACGGTACAACCTAACCTCGTGCGGAACTGTCTTCTCTAGACAATACGTATGATTTAGAATAAACAAAAGAAACTCCGTTACTTTTAATTACATTCAAAAACATCAAGTAACGTTTTAAATAAATACTTTCATTTTAAAAAAATTATTTATTTTGTTTCTTTAACTAGTATCCTTATAAATATTTAATATATAAACAAATGATTTTAATAACAGCATTAAATAGTTCTTTCAAAATAATAAATATTTTCTGTTTTTATTTCCTTAGCCACTGCTATAAGAAAATTTGTTTTAACACGAAAATTTTGTACAAGTTTATTTTCAATTTCCACTTCTCAAATAATCAATAGATCCTATCCTTTTTAAAAATTATTACACTGACTTCTAAAAGCATGTTAATATAATTAGATGACCATACACATTTTTACTTTTAAATCAAAATCAAATCTTAAATGAATTAGTAGTTTTTTATTGCATCTAACTTGAGTAACATTCATGTATTCATACTTTGTCCTTAATGAGAATGAGAATGTATGTCTCACTATTGTCACAGAATATCCATATCAATATCACTGCTCTAGGAAAATATAACAAATTACGAAATGAAATTCCCCCGCAAAATAATTAAAGAAAAACAAAGCATTCATAGGCTTTGGGGCAGAGAAATAATATCTCAACTGATGTAGGAACAGATGAAATTCTAAGTAAAATAATTTAGAACAAAAAAACTCAACTTCAATGAACCCCCTTTTTTCTTGAAAGATATGTTACAGTGATGCAATAAGTAAATATAGAATTACCTTCCTCACGAGAGTTTGGCTTTGAAGAGCTGCAATGTATTCTCACTTAAACAACCAAGTATTCCACGGCTAGGTGAGTACCTAAGATCACGGGCCTGAGCTGGCATCTTGAATTGCTGAAGAACTCTAAAAGAAGGCAACTCATGCAAGACCAAATCACATGTAACTTCATCCCCAGATGCAAAAAATCTACTCTGATTCTCTATGTCTATAATTACACATTTTGGTAGTCGAATTTTATTTACATTGGCATATGAGGAACCCACCTTTTGGAAACGATGACTTCCCATTCCATTGAACAAGACATGAGAGCCCTGCACCACTTGTCCAGTAGTATATGGAGTGGGCGATGGTTGAGATAGAGGCACATCCATGGACATGTCAAATTTTGGACGGTAAGAACCAACAATGTCATCGCTGCTGGGACAATAGGCAAGGGATATACAAACTCCTTGATTATCAGTTTCAGGAACCATAAGTGGCCTTCATGTTTAAGAAAATAAAGCATTAGGGGAGCAAATTAAACATTTTCCACATGATTGTTTTGAGAATCGCTCCTAATCAAATTTAAATTATGCAGAAGAAAATAGGAACAATCCATCCTATACTATCGTATAAAATGCGGTGAAATATTCAGCAGTTCGTCCAAATTTAACAAATAATTTAATTTATCATTATGTAATAGTGACTTTCCAAAAGGCAAAAGAAATGAGACATTAACCCACGAAACAATCAAAAGATTTTGAGAATATAAGTTACAAAATCAGGATACATTCTACATTATCGTACAAACTGAAAAAATAGCAGGAACAAAGTAAAACAGAGGAAAGGTACAAAGATGACCAAATGTCAAAAAATGTGCAATTATTTATTCCATGTCAGCATATTTTGGAAAACGGTTCTAATTATACACAAATGTAGCCCCAGACAAACTGTAGAAGGAAAATGGGAATAAAAAATATAATTGTCCATCAAAATTCAACGATTACAATTTTAACTGGATAGTGTCGGCCAGTAAAAGTTTTATATAATATTTACAAGGCAATGACAGTGAAATTATGCATGTGTGTGTCTAGATTCATAAATTGTAAACAACCTACCGTTCTTCAGAATCAACATTCCACTGACAAATGCCAATGGCAGATGCAGAAAGGATGGTTTTAACACCAGAAGGAAAACCCGAAGTTTGTGCAAGAGATTGTACAGTATGAACAGGGTTGTTAGTCAACCCAACTAAACATTTCATGGGCCCTGCAGTTTGGCGCATATCAAACACCAAGACAGAACCATTCTGCAAGAATGTTATGTGAAGATTAGCATTTGAAGTTCTGACATCCAATAAATACAAAGCCAAGTTGCTGACCTGTAGTCCAGCATATATGTAATGTGAACTGTTGAGATCCCACGAACAAGACCATGCTGGATCCTGGAATACAATTCTAGCAAGGTTACAAATACCAAACAGGGACTGGTATACTCTATCTTGTGACAGAATGCAAGCTTTAAGCAATAAAATTAGTGCAACAGAGGAAAAAAGACATGGGAAAAATTACTGAGTATCTATTTCTATAACAAGTTTGGAGCATTTTTTTTTTGTACGTGATTTCTCTCCTTTCTTCCTTTCTTTAACAATAACAAAAGTTAAATATACGAGCAATACTACTCTAGAAAATCACAAAACAGAGACTATAAACTATTGGCCACAGCTTTATTAATACTAATTTCCTAAATCAAAATAATTAATCAAACTTCTACCTGTAGATCATAATTGATAACAGGGTTGCTACTGTCCAAGCTGCAACACAAGGAAATACATTAATGACCAGGTTTTACAATTTCAGACAAAACAAGTAGTATTTCTAATGCAACTATACCTGACCACTGATAATTTCTTCCCAAATGAAGCATAGAGGGCCAAGCCACTATTAGAAGGAGAAATATGTAGGTCTTTAACACCATTTGTACCGGAGGGCAGTAAGATATCTTGCATCTCAAACGGAGATATCAAGCTCATCTAAAAAGCCAGGTTTACATTAAGGTTAATTGGAAATCCTTCTTTGTATAAAGAGAAACTAAATCCACATATGTATACACAAATATTTCAAATTGATGAATCTTACTTTAGTTAGCAAATGTATTCCACCGATCGCCTTTGGCTTTTGTGCAACTAACAAAATTTGATTAGAAATGTCCATATCAAATACACGTGCACCGTCCAGATGAAACACTTTCTAAAAAGGATAAACAACTAAGTAAATAAAATTCAAGTTATCAAAATAAGAGAGGTCATAGGATAAAAAGGAAAAAAAATTACAGCATATCACATGTTACCCTCTAATAGTTTCACATATTCCCAACTTACTCTCATAAACATTTTTAGAACCTGAAATTTGGTTTAAAGTGAAAACTGTAAACTTTGCCGAATTTAGCAATGGTTTTAGGCTTATTAGCCGCAGTTTTAACCATGGTAATAGCATTTTTCACATTAACAGAAACTTTATAGGTTTAGTGATACAAAAAAGATTTAGGAGGTAAACTGGGAAAGTACGAAACTACCAAGAGATCAAAGTGTAACTCAAAAACACTATCCTTCTGTTGATACAATACATGGAGCTGTAAAAGAAGAGGAGGGAGAGTGAGAGAATGACATACCTGCAATTCAAAATTGCGAAAGGATCCCCCTCCATGGTGATTTGGGCCAAAGTTGTGTTCTACAAGTTACATTCAGCAAAAGAAAATGTGCTCAAACATACAAATTAGTAAGAAAAGGAAAAAATAAATAAACAAACAATGAAATTAACTTCAATTTTTGTATTGTTGAAAAATGCTTTGTCATTGCTGTAGAAAGAAGGTGGGCTGGGAATTGGAGGTGCAGGAGATAAATATTACGAGGCAGAGATCTGTCATCTCATTTGAGAGCTGAAAGGATGATTACCAGATTCACATCTCCATTGAGAGTTTCCATTGCCATTTATCAAATCAGATTGCCTGCTCTGCATATCTAGTAGCAGCTGCTCCAAATAAGTGTTTCTCTACAAGACCAATTTATTACAAATTTAAAACCATACATCAAAAAGGCTTATATGATTTATATGATTTGCCAAATCTTTGTACAGATTTGTACTGCTTAAACTTCTGTCCACTATGCTCCTCAAGCAAATATCTCAATTATTTAGGCAACATGGTTACTGAGTAACACACAATTGAAAATGTTAAATGGTTTGTAACTTTGTAAACATTAATGCATACGGGATACCTCTGTAAGCTTTTGAACTTGGGCACGCAATGCAGCTTCTGTTTTCTGCCATCTGGCTTCTTTCTTGTGCCAATCACTGCCCTGAGAAAATAATTGAGAAAATGTTCTTAACCAAGAATAATAGAAATATAGCCTCATTTTCCAGGAAAATTGAACCAAAGTAAAAATATATGCATCAAGCAAAAAAAATTCTTCAATAGCATCCTTCCTACCTCACTTTCAAGGGCAACACATTTGGCCTCGAGGCCACGAATTCTCTGCAAACAGAAACATAGCAATCAAGCAAAACTCTTCCTTAAAAGTTTCTTCTGACATTGCAAATGCACATAAACTGGACCCAACCTTCTGAGATTCTTCATCAACGGCAACTACTCGGGAAGCATAGAGTTTCCTCACATCGTTCAACGAACATTTCCTATTACATTGAGGACACTAGAACGGGAAAAGAAAAAAAAGGAATGAAGAATGTCAAAGGCCATTTCTCTGCACACCAATTCCTGAAAGTATCTTTCAACCAGCCACAGTGTAGAATTTACCTTCCCCGAGTTTCTTCTCTGTTGAAGCCATTTGTTGATACATGACATGCCATATATGTGTCCACAAGGAAGACAACTGAACTCATTCATCCCAAAAAATCCAAATAAATTTAATCACCACATTGTTCACATACACTCAACAACAACAATTTCATTATAAGCATATCCAATCAAACATACACACTGTAATTTAGGGTAAGGGGTTTGAAGTAGAACCAGATGTGATGTTCGCCGTCATTGGTCCAAACGTCCATGCAAATAGGGCAAATGAGGCCATCAATGTCGGTGCGGTTCCACTCATTCCCTTGGCTACCGTCGCTGCTACCACTTGCGAAAGAACAAGAAGCCTCGCCTCCTTCGGTTCTGCGCCGTTTGTTTCTCTCCTCTTCCACGCTATTCTGCGATTCATCGGCGATGACAATTACTTCGTTTGTGATAGGGCTATGAGAAGCGTAGTGAGAAACCCTAGAAGACCACGCAGCGGGGACGTATTCTTCATCGTCTTCATCCTCGTCTTCTTCATCGTCATTTTCTTCCTCATCGGCGACTCCATATTCTGCAGCTGCAATATCGTTTTCGTCGTGGTGGTGCAATTCAGACGGATTCTCCATCACAGCGAGTAAATGGAGGAAAGAGGCCAAGTGAGTTCATTGGTCTTAAACGACACGCAAAGAGCGACCGTTTAAGGGTCGCCAGGGAAACGAAAGACAAAGGCGCGCCGACCGGGTGCTTTTTCTTATTGGATTTTCCAGTGATTTAATTGGTGTTTTCTGGTTGAGTGATGTTAGAATTTCAAGTTGAAAAATTAAAAATTATGATAAAATTATGTTAATTATTTTGAAAGATTTTTCAATTAGTTTCTTAAAATATTAGTTGGGGTTTTTTCATTTGAAAACAAAACTCTTTCGAGTTTTTTTTGTTAGATTGTTTTATTTCTCAATTTGACACTTTTTAATATTATTTCTTTAAATACGCTCAAATGTGAACACATTGAAATGTTATTTTTTGAAAAAACAACTATTTAATGCACTTTTTTAACGTTGTGTAAGGAAATCAGTTTTGAAGAAAATGATTTTCTATAAAAGCCTTTTTTAGATTGTCTTATTAATTCTTTTCCTTTTGGTTAAGTAATCAATAAATAAATAAAATATTATACTTTAATATTAAAATTATGTTAAAAATATATATTTATAATCTATTAAATAATATTTTTAATTATTTTATTAAAAACACTAGCTAGTATTTACTTCTTTTGAATATATTGAAAAGTCACATTCTCAAACTTTATGTAACAACATACAAATTTCCCAACTTTGTTGCGTAGTAATGTATGGTATACACACAAACTGAATAAACTAAAATTAATTAACAAAGAGTGATTTTTAGAAATTATGCGGAAAGATTATGGAAGAATTTATTCATATTTTAATATATTTATTATACTTGTTTGAATGATTTATATAAAATGTTCCTTTTTATTAGTTGATTAGATTAATAAATAATAATATTAATAAATGTTTTAGAATGGTAATATGCATTTGACCCAAACTAAATGTTACTTAAAAATATTTCAATAACTTTATGCGTGTTTTGTATAGAATTGAGCACTGGTCAATTGCAAATCGAAATCACTCGATCAGAAGGCAATTATTAGATATATATAACCGTCAATGAAAAAATCAGAAGGAGCCACACAGAGTGAGCGGTGTGGAGAAAAGAGAAGCTGAGAGGACAATAGTAGCTTGAAAGAAGAGTGCATAATTGGAAAATAATTTATTTATTTAAACTTTTTAAAAATTAAATGAAAATTAAATATGTTATTTTCAATTTATAAAAAAAATATTTATTTTTTAAATTATTTTTTTTAATAATTTTTTAAAATGTTTATCCAAATTAGATCATAGTATATTATTTTATTAAAAGTTTTGATATAATGTATTCAGATTTAAAGTTCAAATAATATTAAAATTTAATTGATTTTGTAAAATGACGTTAAAATAGAAATAACAACAAATTAAATATTTTTAAAAATACGTGAATTAATTCAATATTAAAGTTTCTTACTTTAAAAATGACAAATGTGTATTTATACAAATTATTACCATTAATATTTTAATATACAACTGTTTCTATGGTGAATATTATATAATTTTAATTTTAATTTTATTATCATAAGTTATTTAATTTTAATATTTTATAATACAGCATTACATGTCATTCTTAACTCTTTAATATAAAGTTAATTTTATCAAATAATTTTAATTTATGAAACTACTTTTAAAACTATAACTTTTCAGTTATAACTATTTTATTAGTTATAACTCATGAATTATAAAATTTCAGTTAATTTTATTAAACAAATTTTAAAATATCATCAAGATTTAATATTTTTTTATTAATGAATATTAAAAATTCTTTAGAGAAGTTAATTATTTATATGGAAAAAATATTTATAACAGTAATTGTTGTGTAAGACTATGAAAAATACGAGAACGAGAGAAATTTTGAATAATATGTTGATGTGAAAGTATGATGGTAACAAATATTACAATGTTCAATCTGTTTATCGCTATATTCATAATTAATTTATTGCATGTAGTAGTTTGGAGTTGTGTCTAGGACAAGTATTATGTAAAATTTGGAAGGTCAATGAACCAAAAGCAATAAGTATTCGTGTGGCATCTATTACTTAATGTAATTACAGTACAAAAGGAATTTAACCAAAGTGAATTGACAATTTCTTCATAAACTTGTGAGTTTTGTGATACAAAGATGAGGAGTTGCTGCATTTTTTTTTACATTGTGATACTTCTATAAGAATGTGGTGCACGGTATTTGAATACTTTGGTGTTAGTATATGTTTACCTAAAAATTTATATGAAACGTTATTGAGTATGCGTGAAATTCAACTTTTAAAAAATGGAAGGGAGCTATAATGATTTGGTTTGCATGATAATTTGACTTTAGATGAATAATATTATCTCCATAATAATGTATTAAATGTTAATTAAATATTTAATTATATTAAGTATTATTTTTTAAAGTAGCTTACAGCATGATCTTTGAAGGCTCAATGTGAATTAGATTAATAATATCTTTTCCTAAACCCTAAACCCTTGTTTGAATTGTTAATTTCTTTAGATATGTAACTAATTAAATGATCAAATGTACTTATAGTTTATCTTTAATAAAATATTAATATTTAATAAAAAAAGTTAAAAATATATCGATTAAAAAGTTAAAAATAATTTTATTTGACCAATAGTTTTTTTAATTTTTTTTATAAATATACATTTTTAAAATAAAAAAATGTCTACGATTAAATTTTAAAAAATATTTTTAAAAAGTTTAAATTAATTAAACTCTAAATAAACATCCCCAAATGTTTTTGAGTCAGTGACACACTTGTCTTGTTCCTGCCTTCCCCCAATTGTCGCTAAAAGGGAAAGGGCAGAGAAGAGTAGAAAAGAGATGGCTCGCAGTATATCGTACATTACAGGGTCGCAGCTTCTCTCTCTGAGACGCCATCCAAGCATCGCAATCGTTGATGTCAGGTAACAGTGCTTTTCTATTCAGCCAATTTTCTATTTTTTCTTTCAACAATTGACTTTGTTATTGAAGAGACGAGGAGAGGAGTTACGACGGACACATTTCGGGGTCTCTTCATTACGCGAGCGGCACTTTCTCCGATAACATCTCAAATCTTCTTCAGGCAGTTCAAGGCAAAGACACCCTTGTCTTCCACTGCGCTCTAAGTCAGGTTCTTCCCCTTCTTCCAGTTCTAAGCCACTCATTCCCGATATTGTTTCTTAGATAACAATTTGGTACTTGCCACGCCAATTATTCTTAGTAAGATTCGATTTTAGCGTGGGAAGAGTAGGGCTTTGCATTTTCAATGTTTCATGCCCAAAGGGTTCGTTCCTTAGAGAGGGGTGTGGTAGAAATGTAAGAAAATTCGTGTCCCTCTCTCTAACAGCTTTAACTTCTGTCACATTTTATTGCATGTATCATAGGCTAAAAGTTTACTTTTGACATAGATTAATCACAAATCTACTAGAGCTGCATTTGCATAGCTGCTTATTTACAAGCTGTTTTTAAGACAGTAACTTAGATTTAATGATGAACCTTTTTGAGATAAGTTGACAACAACTTATTTTGATAGGCTATGCTAAGAAATTTATTGAAATAAGTTGAAAAAAGCAGTTTCTGAGAGACATAAGCTGTTTATAAGTTCTTTCAAATAGGCCCAAGTTATCCTATAAACCAAGATGCTTGGACAGTCGTGATATGAGCAAAAACTTTTTGTCCATGGAAAATAGGAGGGGGCAAAATATAGCTCTCCTTATCATATGACACTGTTTTACCCAAATTTTCACTAGTTCTCTGGTCAGGAATACGTGATCATCTCCTTTTGGTAAAAGGTCCTGTTCTTCACTTTGGAATTTTCTTTAGCAGGTCTTAGCTGTCTGTCCTTAAAGGTTAACTTTTATTTTAGTTGGCTTTGCAATCATAACTAAAGAAAGTAACTTGATGCAAAAGAAGAGTTTTAAAATAGGAGAGGAAGTTGGCCAAAAGAAAACTAAAAGGGAATCCTGAGGCTTTGCCTGCAGCTGTTTGTGAGGATAAGAACTTACTTAAGAAAGAAAAATAACGAATCAAATTTGCTGATATTGTTTTTTTAAAATCATTTTCACTGTCTTCCATTGCTTAGGCAAAGTACAACATTTAATAATCTGTGTCTGATTCATGTTCCTAGGATGATCTTGTCGTTGTAGAAGATCAAGTTCTACATGATTGATTGACCAGCTTCTTATGTGCATATGTTTATTTACTTGGATTATTTTTTTCTTCCAGTTGCTAGTGTCCTTTCAGAATGTGCTTGGTGATGTCTATGCCTGACACGGTTGTAATTCAATTTATGTTACATTCATATTCTGCATTTGAGTTGGTTCCAAGATATAATGGATATGCTTGACATAACTCATTTATCTATAACTTTGTAGTTGTATCTTAATAAAAATCAACTTGACGTGGGAAATTCTTTGTAATGGGAAACGTAGGTCTTCCTATACCACCCATTTTGTATGAACCAGAACATATCTCTCTAAACTGAAAGTGGAATAAACTATTTTGTAGGTTCGTGGCCCAACGTGTGCTAGGAAGTTTTTCAATTATCTCGAGGAGCGTAAGGAAGATACCGGGATAAAGAACATTATGGTCTTGGAACGTGGCTTCAACGGGTGGGAAGCTTCTGGTAGACCTGTTTGCCGCTGCACTAATGTTCCTTGCAAAGGAGAGTGAGAGCGTGGAGCGCATTGTCTTGTGATATTTGCACTCATTTATAAACAAAAACAGTAGAGTGTTGGCTATGATTACATCATTATATCATATGTAAAGCCCCACATATATCACGGGTAAACTGAATAATGAATACCATTGTTTCTGTTTTGTCCATCACTTAACTATGTAAGAAATCCTTCAATGGAGAGTGCCAAGAATAACAAAGATACTCTTTTTCTTTCTCAACTTCCCTACTGTATTACATAACATAATTTGATCAGTATGATTGAGGGGTTCTGCTTTGACAAGTATCCCAAGCTAGTTCTAGGGAAGACAAGCATTTTGCAGGCTTGCATTTCTGTGAAACTGATAAAATTATGTCTCTCACGAGGTTGCTAAAATGAAAACGGATGCGCTCAACAGCCATATCAACGAATCTCAAGGTTGTGGCGTCAAGGTGTAACATTGTTACTCTTTGACATGCTTCTTGAAAGGGACATCTTCAAAGCTACATAAGTACATATAATACCTAACTACTTTGTCTTCGGCCTTCAGAACCCTTAATGTTCCTTTATCTCGTGCTATTTTGGGGGCGCTTCTCAGATGCTTGTGTTCCTTTGGGTTTCTAATGCTAATACACAATGAAAACTCAGGCTACCTAAACAAGCTATATAATGACAACACAAAAAAAAAAAAAAAGCAGCTACGTAATAGATTCCAAGACTCAATCCTATTATCATATATCAAAACTTATATCTACCGTTGTGTAATCAAAAATATTTTTTTAAAATTTTTGTTTAGAATAATTTTATTAGGTATATAATTATTTAAAAATATAAATTGTTGTTCTTTAATTATTAAATCATATATATTTATTCTAAAATATAATAATGTACTTTGCAAGGACTGTTAAACTAGTTTGATTAAAATTATGTCAACCAAATGGCAACATAACATATTATGGAACAAATCATATGAATATAAATATATTGTCATACTGTGTAAAATTAAAAAGTCAACAAGTTATATTGTTTATTACCGGTTGTAGAATATTCAGGTTTAAAAATTTTTTGGGACATTAAATTAGGTGAGGTTACTGCAAAAAATAAAAAACCATAAATTCATCTTAAATACAACAGAAAGCCAATTATGTTTTCAAATTGGTAATTTAGTGGTATAAATGTGTCAATTCTTAGAATATTGATTGAATAATATTGAGGGGGAAATTATTTTAAGTAAATAAATTCAAAAGTGAAAGATAGTGATAGTCTATCAGAGTATACAAAATCACCAAATATTATTATTTTATAATATATTATATTTTGTAGTAATATCATAAATTGGCCTATTAGCTCAGTTGGTTAGAGCGTCGTGCTAATAACGCGAAGGTCGCAGGTTCGAGACCTGCATGGGCCAAAATATTTTATATTTTTTCTTATTCTTTTAATTCTCTCGTGTAAAGAGTCGCAGGTTCGAATCAGCGCTTTGGTACAATCTATACTTCCTAAAACATAAACAACTCTTTTTGTGAAATAAATATAATAGGTGCAATTTATGACGAGCCAATTAAGTCAATAGCCATGCTTTGTGTTTATATCTTATTATTTTATAAGAATTTACTTTTATACTTTTGTATACACTATTATGTAAAATACACTTGTATTTCGAAAATCTCAGTTTGAATTTTAAGATTGGAAAATATTTTTCAAACCCAAAGTAGGATATCTAAAATTGATAGTATTAAGTACTCTAATTTTTAATAAAAAAATTGTTATTTATTAATTTTGTATTATGTACAATTTTATATAGGTAAAAAAATACTTTTAGAATTTTTGTATACAAAAAGGAAAATACTTTTTAGTACGAAAAACTTGAACAGGAAATATAACGAATAAAAACGTAGTATTTTAATTGGTCAAAATATTTCTCTTTCTGATAATTAAATTCAACTATGCTTATATGATTGGTAATTATCCTTTCTTTCGTTAAAATTGGTATTATTTTTTTCATACCATATAGAATTGTTCGTTAAAAAAAGATATAATAATAATAATAAACAGTAATTCATATAATACGAATTTTGAGTGGTTAGAATTGCAATGGTTGGGTTGAATAGCTTGGACTAGTATGTTTATCCACATTTTAAAATGAAATAAACTAAATTTCACTTTATTTTTTATGAACTTTAGACAAAGTGAAACAAGTCCAGCTTCTTCACCACTCTGTTGACATGTTAGATTCAAATACTACTACTACTTTTCTTTGACTGAAACATAGTTCCAAATTCCATTGGATTGAGTTTTCTAATATCTTATTACAATGCTCAACCCAACTACTATGAGTCCATGACTAATTAGTTTAGATTAATTTATATCTTTAGGCATGGTTGCTTTACTTGGCTGCCAAGGCATACTTCAATATTTGTACAATAATATGTATAATTATTCATTCTGCATTGGACATCCTATCTCCATCTCCACCAGCTCTTATTTTCTTAAAAACATATTTAATTATTTATTTAAATTATGCATTACTCCTCCACTTCAAGATTTATAGATTGAATTTGGCATTGAAAGTCAAATCAAAACAATTGAAATAATCATGCACACTACATGTGCTTGAGTTATTAAATAAAGAATAATTGTTTTGTTAAAAATCTAATTAATGCATATTTGAAAAATATATATTTTAGCATATTTTGAATAAAAAAACATTTCAAACTTTTAAACAAGACCTTATCTACCTTATATTATACCTATGCATAATTTATTGCTATACAGTGAATATTATAATAAAATATCTTGGAAAATATATTTTAATATTCACTTTTGGGTGTGACATGGGTGAAAGAAAGGGGAGATACAAGAGAGAAAATAAGATACGTGATAAAAAGAATATTGAAAAATAAATTTGAACTTTGGGATTTGGAAAAAATGTATGTAAGAGATAAGAACAGTGTATCGGTAAGGAAGGTTTGAGATTGATTACACTGAATATGGACTTGGTGTTGGCAAGTAGCCACTACTTTGTAACACCATAACCAATAAGTTACTTAAAGAAAGGGACTGGATTTGGGAGAGTACATTGGCATGAATATGATCAAGAATAGGAGTGAACAGTTAGATTCAATATATGACTTGGATGGTTTTGTTCATAGCCACATTTTATTTATTATTAATATCAAGTTAGTTATATTTATAAAATATTTTTTTTGAATTAAAAGTAAATAAGATTTTACTTTATATATTCTTTCACTTTAAAAAAAGTTCATATAATTTAAGTTTTGTTAAGATGATGAAAAAATAATTGAAATAAGAATATATTGTTTTGAACAAATTAGGGTGGACAAAGGATAACGTTTCAGATAACAACAAGCTAAAGCAACTATTTTAAGTAAGAAGTGAATAGAAACAAAACAAGGGAGGAGATAAAATAAAATAAAAAAGTAAATTATATAAAAAAATGTTTTTATAATAATATAAAAATTATCTTTATAAGGAAATGGGTTTACTGTAAATTTGATTACAACACCTTTGTGACTACGACAAATGATGAAGACGATTCTTTTTCCTTAAATTTTTGCTTTTAGATTTTCTTTACATTCAAATGCAAACAATTTAAATAGTTGGTGCAATAATATAACGCTCATTTACTTTTATATGCGTGAAATTGATTTAGTTAATTATGTATTTAAATATCACCACATGTAAGTTTTTTATATAGCTAGTGATAGAAATATAACATGTTTTTTTTAATTCAATTTGCAACATTTCCTACTTAAAATATATCTCAATAAAATTTAATTATTAAGCGAAAACATGAAGGTTTAAAAATATATAACATATTTGATTAAAAGTAAAAGGGCAACAGAGACACAACAGCAAATATGATTTTTTTTCATTAAAAATCATGTTCAAAATGTGTTAAACATTATAATAAAAAATATATTAAAAATTATTAATTAACACCCTTTCTACAATTATTAACACCTGTCTTTAAATTATGGGTCAAAATTATTATGTCTTGTGAGTGTTCAATCGAAGTCCACTTATCTAGAGCTATTCTTCACATGTGTGTTTGTAAACAGCCAATATCTTAATAGAAACAATAAAATATATATTATCGTAAGGGGAAAAAGTATGCAATTAATTAAGTAATTATTAAGAGTAGATTCCATTTGCTTATATGAAAAAGAAAAGGTAGATTCCATTGTATGTATTGTGGATAAGATTATATATAAATAAGCATAGCATGGATCCACTTTCAGTTTGGGGAGGAAACTCGTACGAAACATCATGCTTTGTCGTCTTCGTTCCCTCACTCATCCACTTCGAAGAATCCTTTAATTTACAAATATTTAATTAATATTATTATTCTCTTAAATATTGTTTAAACTTTTTTTTAATAATTTTATATTAGCATGCTCTCAGCGCGTGTACGAGATGGCTCCTTTCAACTTAAGAAACTTCGAGGAAGCCACATTTTACTTGAATTTATATATATGAATATACATACTTAATATTGTGATATATAAAATAAATTTTTCTTTATAAATTAGATTCAGATTAAATTTTGAATATTATATTAAAATTCAAATTAATTGGTTAATGGAATGGTTGCGTGCAAAAACGTGGTTTGTTATTGGTTAGTCGGCGTTTACTGTTACCAAGTTACTATTCTTAGTTTATATTCAACGTCATACTATATATTAGCCATCAAGTCTCTGTCAATGTTACTTTCCAATCCTTTTTTTCAATGCTACGTTTATAAAATGTTTCAAATTTCTGGAAACAATTAAAGTAAAAAAGTTATGGTTAATTTGTGAATTATTTTTAATCAACAAAAAACTTAAAATATAATTATGTTTGAAATATTTTTTAACATTTATTCAACAACGTACTATAATACCTTGATAATATTGAATATTATAATTTTTAATATTTTTTTAAATATTTTTTACTGTGTACTTTTGAATATGCATTCAAAAAATACTTTTATAATTATAATATCAACAAAAATTATCAATTATTTAAAAATTATATTTATTAGATATTTTAATTATTTGATAATATATTTTTAATATTAACAATAAATTAAAATTAAGCTCAAGTTTTTAAAACATAAATTACCTGTTTTATATATTGATTAAATTATTTTTTTTAGAAAAATAGTTAAATAACAAGCCCATTATTTTTAAATTAAAACATTATCATCATATGTATACATATATCATTAAATTAAAATAAAAGTTAAAAAATATTCTATAATTTTTAAAATGAATATTTTAATATAAAATAAATTTAAGATATGACGAAATAAAATATAATTTCTGAAAATATTTTTATTTAAAAATAAAGATTTATATTTAATAAACAGAAGTAGATTAAAATGAGTGTCTGAAGAATCAATAACATGTTTGTTTACTTGGATAATTTGAATGAAAGATAAAACGACAAATTGTTTAGATACTATCTAGATTTGGTGTAATTTATTAACGAATGGAGTTGAGTGCGAGACTTGGGGGAGGGAAATAGCTGTTAGCTAGCGAGTGTAATATAAACGCTGTGGGAAGGTGATGAGTGTAACTTTGATTGGTCATAATTCACTTCCTCACTACCTCTCAGCTCTAGCAAATACCCATCTTCTCGCTAAAACCGACACTGAAGAAAGTTGCACTGCCCCTCAACAAGAAGAAGAAGAAGAAGAAGATTATGGGCATACTACAGGACGACGTAGTGATTATCAGAGAGGCAGAGAAAGAAACTGAAACAACCGTCATAACTGTTAATTGCCCTGACAAGACCGGTCTTGGTTCTGATTTGTGTCGCATCATACTCTTCTTTGGTCTTAGCATTCTCCGAGGAGGTGACCATAACCCAACTCTTTTCTCTTTCCTCACACACTGACACCCGACTTGGGTTGAGTTAAGGGGTTACCTTGGAATTTTGATTCTAATTTTTATCTTTTTTTTTTTTTTTAATTTTTGTTATTTCTGTGAACTTGAGATGTGGGTGGTTCAGCCTGATTCGTTTGTTTCATTGTTTTCTTGCAATGAAGATGTGTCCACCGACGGGAAATGGTGCTACATAGTTTTCTGGGTGGTTGGGAAGCACAATACGAGGTGGAGTTTGTTAAAGAATAGGTTAATTGGGGCATGCCCTTCTTGTTCCTCAGCTTCTGGAATTTCTTATTACCGCTCTGACTTGCTCCCTCCTAAGCCTCCCGATGTTTTCCTTTTGAAATTTTGTTGCCATGATCGTAAAGGCCTTTTACATGGTATTTTTTTAGTCCTAGTTTTCTTGTGTTACCACTTTAAATGATTATTTTATTTTAGTTTTTGAATTGGCAATCTAAAACAACTTCCAATTTTTTAAAAGGTCATTGTTTATTACCCTGGAGTCTCTTCCTGCTTGAATTTTGCCTTGTTTTCTAGATATATTGATTTGAATGTCTTTATTATTGGAACAGATGTTACAGAGGTTCTTTGTGAGCTAGAGCTCACCATAAACAAAGTGAAGGTATCTACTACACCTGATGGCAAAGTGTTGAATCTGTTTTTCATCACGGATACCAGGTTATTCATTTCTATACATATAATTTTTAGAACAAGCTTGTGTTGTTATTTAATACTCTCTAATTGCTAGTTCATTTCAATTATTTATAAGGCTGTGAATTTGGTGTTTGGATTGCTGTACTCTAATGATAATTACTAACGGCACTTGAATGGGACTAATAAGGAGCTATTAAAGTGGATCAAATGCAGAAACTATAAGTAGTAGCGTTGAAATAAACATGGATCCATATGCATTTTAATGAGCTACTAATGTCCCCAAGGTTTTTCTGTAGCGAGTCTTTCATAAAAGTTGAAATGCACTTTCTGAGAATGAAGATTAATGTGCTGATTTACCTCATCTGCATTTGATGACAATTCCTTCTCATTTTTACCAGCTAAATAATCTGCTGCTAAATTTTGTATTTGTAATCAGGGAACTTCTACATACGAAGAAGGGAAGGGATGACACAATCAAACATTTAACAGCTGTTTTGGGGGATCACTTAATTACCATTGAAATTGAAATGGTTGAACCAGACATCGCTGCTTGTTCTCAAGCATCTTCATTCCTTCCAAGTGAAATTACAGAAGATGTCTTTGATATGGAATTGCCTGATTCAGTTCCAGGTGGGACTTTCTTATCAGATTCTGTTTCTATTGTGATGGACAACTTGCTGAGTCCTGCTCACACGCTTGTCCAAATTATATGCCAAGATCACAAAGGTCTTCTTTATGACATCATGAGAACTCTGAAGGAGTACAATATCCAGGTACAGCAGCAATTTATGATCTGAATAACACTATATTTGAATCATGGTTTTAGGCTGCTATGAATTGAATAGTGTGTGGAAGGTAGACGGCAGAAAGAATTGATAAGCCTATACACTTCTAAGTATTAAATGTGATGGGTTTTGTATGTGAATACTGCATCATGAAGTTTCGTCCAAATGCGGTGTTTCTCTTTGTTGTTCCAAGTAACTTGAAATAATGGAATGCCTTTACTTTCTCATTCATCTTATCTAGTAGCCTAAAACATAACCTAATTTGTCATTTAAACAGATTTCTTATGGACGATTCTCAGCAAAACCTAGAGGAAAATGTGAGATTGACTTGTTCATCATGCAAGCAGATGGGAAAAAGATAGTTGACCCAAGCAAGCAAAAGTCTTTGTCGTCACGCCTTAGGATGGAACTACTTCGTCCTCTCAGAGTAGCTGTTGTAAGCAGGGGTCCTGATACAGAGCTGCTAGTTGCTAACCCTGTGGAGTTATCTGGCAAAGGACGGCCTCTTGTTTTTCATGATATTACTCTTGCTCTCAAAATTCTTGGCCCTTGCATCTTTTCGGTACTTACTGATCTGATTGCTCTCTGCTATTTCCTACTGCATAGTTTAAAATTTTCACTGCACACTCTAATTTCTTAGCGAAGTCATAGTCTCCCTTTTTCTGTGGTCCGGACCATGTGGTCACAGCCACACAAACTGCGATACATATTCAGTTTTTTTTTCTAAATTATAAAATTTATACACATGATGCAATATGAGTGGCTAGAACCACGTGGTCCTCGAACACCCAATAATATTCCCTCGCCTAGGAAACTAGCTCAATATGAATTTTCACTACTGTTCCCACTTACCGATTTATAGAAGTATGTTAACAAAATTAAATGGAACAGAAGGAAGCATAAAAGTAGACTGAGAATGATGGTTTACATCATGTCAATTTTCTGACTGATTGTTTCAACAGGCCGAAGTTGGAAGGCATGTGATTGGAGATCGCGAATGGGAAGTTTATAGAATCTTGCTTGATGAAGGGGAGGGTTCATGTGTCCCAAGGAACAAGATTGAGAAAGGAGTTTGGAAAGTGTTGATGGGTTGGGAGTGATCCATGGTTGGTGCCTTGGTGGCACTGTTCCTTCTGTATGAAACTGTGTACAGATAGATAACATGGCTATCGTATAAATGTAACTTGTTGTAATTATGAAATGTATATTGTGCAAATAGTGATCTATGTCACGCTATATCTTTTTTAGAGCTTTTTGTAATTTTAACTTAGTGTGTAGAAAGAAGGGCAGTAGCAACTAGCAAGTATTTAAAAAACAGAGAAAGGAAGGCGTATTGTTTAGAGTATTTTATAAATGAAAATGAAATGTTATAAAGTTATATTTAGTTATTTTATAATGTGTATATGTATATGGATCTTTTTTGGTAGGCTCTATGCCCAAGTTATACTTTGCTTCCGTCTTTAGCATATAAATTTCGGTCTTGTTTGTTTTAAATTTATAAAATTAATTTATATTCTTTTTTAAAGAAAAAATATGTTCCAATAAAAGTGTGTGGTTCATATTAATTAATGCATGCGTTTTAATCATATTTAATGACTTAAAATTAATTCTGTTCAACTTTAAATTAAGCGAACAAGAATTGTCTGCTACAATGAAATGGTTAATTGGGTTTCCTCATTGTTGTACTTTTATTGCTCATTTTGTATTATATCATTTACCTAAGATAACTTAAACGAGCAAGTTGCCTCCAATGTGATGTTTTATCTTATATTCTAATTCTAATCAATAGGTTAGTTTGATTTAGACTTAAACAGGTAATATTCTACATGGATTTCCGATCGGAGAACCGTGTCACATCCACAGATGACAGACCTTGTTTCTGTCTATGATTCACTAGTGTGTAGCCACATGTTCAACGGTCTTTGGTCAATGTTTGGCGATGCATTTATCTGATAACACGTTTGAGTCGTTGGCTAGTCATAGCTTGATAATTCATTGGCATCGGAAATTTGTAAAATTGTGGGGATTCCATGAACATTGTAGATAAAGAAATGCTAGCACAAGTGTTATTGGTTGTCTCTTCTTTTGGGAGCTTTATGTTGCTAGATAGAATATCTATAATTTTTTAAATTATTTTCCAAACATGTTAACATCAAGAAAAGACCCCATTTGTTGATATGCCGTAAAAGTTCTTTCCATGTGTCACAAACTGATATTTTAAGGTTTTTTTTGTTGTTATTCCAATCTTGTCAGCATCGTAAATAGGATCCGTGAGAAACAAGATTCACGGTGTGCTTTATGATATTTTTATCTATTGCTACTTCCAGTAGATGATACATTTGGTATGCTTTTTTTTTCTCTTCTAATAGAATGTTGTTACCTCTCAATTGTCCTTCTCGTTATCGTTGTGAAATGGTGAGGGCATAAAAACAGTAATGCACTGCACAAGAAGTAGCGCGTCTCAGATATTTTTGGGTTCACATTTTCTTTTCTGGGTCATTGTTTACTCTTTCTTTTAAATGATTTTAGTGGAGCAGTTCAACTGTTCTGTCAATGACAAATGGGTCTATTTTTTTATTGATTAGACTTCTTTTGCCGTCGAATTTAAGTTATTTTTTTAATTGCCTGTTTTTTAAAAAATATATAAGAAAAAATAAATTTATTTTTTCACAATTATAATTGATAAATAAAAAGACATTTGACTGAAAGGGATATATTAAACTAAAAAACAATGTAAATAAAATATTAATTATAGTTCTTAATGTATGTATCATTATTCAATTTTTCAAACATTACTGCGAAAATTAGAGTGAGTATATTTTACTTTGCTCAAACAGATAACAATTTACGAATCTGGTTTCATCTGCAATCACCTAAATTAAACAAAGCAATGTTTTGCCATTTATCATCAGTGATAATTGCTGTTTAATCACTGACTAATTAATCACTTGGTCACGTACGACAGCTAAGGAATGGTTGAGAGGTGAAAATAGTTTTATATAAGATATTATATTATAATAATTTCTCTAAGAAGAATATGTTTTGGGTAAAATTCCATTGCCAATGAGAATTTGGCACATACTCTTTGGTAATGTCAATCATATAATTTGTCTGCCCTCGTGGGGTTACTGAGTGGCATTGCACTGAGTATCGTCATGTCCTTTCGTTTTAATTCCCCTTTAGACCACCATGCGGAAATTTTGGAGTGCTAATCATTTTAGCTAGTCGAATGGAAAGTGATTACTTTTGACCCAAAAAAAGGAATAGAAAGTGATTAGGACAAATAGAATGAATAGTGCAATGAACCAAATGGCAAAAAGCAAAAAACAGAGGAATAACAATTGCAGTTTGATAATTTTGCGGCTGATTACATTACAATTTCCAATATATTCCTAATTTGTGCAAAACGCCAGCAACCACTCCCCAGAACGTGATTTCTGCGAAGATGACATATAAGAGGGTTCCCACCCTCTCTGAGTGCCAAACGTTCACAAATATATGCTTCTTGATCCAATGTACCTGTTTTTTTGTTTCACGTGCAAAAATGGTTAGCTCCCACTCCTACTTAAGTTCAATAATAGCAACCATATTATTATAATCCTTCATTGTGAGATAGACCTAAGATAAAAAATTAATTGTAAACAGAATGTAAGAAAAAGTATATATTAAGGGGATTTGGAGAGGGGAGATTTTATTTTATTTTTGGTAAAATTATGATAATTAAGGAACGCCATCTAACATAGGACAGCAGGTAAAAATAAGGCAAAATTTAAATGTGTTTTTTATATTATTTTTTATTAAATTTTAAATTTGATTTTAATAACTTGTGATGATATTGAATATTAATTGCTAATCGATGAAAAAAATTTAATTTTAATTAAAAATAAGTATAAAAAAAAAGCACTTTAAGTAAGAAACAAATCATGTAGAATAGAAATCCAAGGGATTGGTTCTTACTAGTGAGTTGTGTGGATTTTCATAATACCATCCATTTACAAATGCTGCGAAGATCCCCTCGGCTGCCATCACAAACACTAGCATAGCGTTCATTCCTATCCACTCCAAGAACAAGAATGGAGTACGAAGCCCCCAAACATCGATCTGTTTAATTATCAAGAGTATCAGAAAGTGAGATTAAACCAAATCACAGGAAAATACTTATTAATAAAAAAATATTAATCTCAAGTTTAAGCAACTAATAATAATGAAATTTTATCAATAAAGTACTTTATTATAAACTTTAATATAATAAACAAGTTATTTTATGATAAAAAATTATTACTACACGCTTAAACATAACTCTATAGATTGAGTTTAACAAAATTTGTTAACAAAAAACAAATTAGAATTAGCAATTCCAAAGGAATTTTTCTACTGGAATAAAACATTTTACCTACCAGTATGTAGAACGCAGAGAACACTATTCCAGCTGCCCCAGCTGTGAAACAAACATAGCTGAAGCTGTAGAGTTGCTTGTTAAGTGGGATAGCTGTATGATTGCACGAAAATTTCGTTAAGATTTAGCTTGCATGTAAATGGTATCTATATTTCCTAGATTGAACTTGAGACGTGCTTATCTCACTAGCTTAATTACCATCTGTAAAGTGAAGAATGATGGCTAGTATGAGTAACACAAACCCCATTGAGACCCATTGTTTTAGCCTCTCCGAATGATCCTGTCAAAGTTTGTACATTTATAATTAATTTGCATTTGTATAATACATGTTTAGTTTGTATATAAAAAGGGTGAAGTTTTGTAACCTTGAAGTGAATCAAGACGTGCCCATAATGGATGCCGACAGTGCCGGAGATGATAGCTGATATAGAACTATAGTTTTTAAAAAATATTATTCGTTAAATATTGATATTCATAGATACATGGAGAGATAAATAAGGATTTTTTTATTTATAAAGTAACCTAAGTTTATATAGATAGAAGAAAATATGATGAAAAATAGGGGCTAAACCTCAACAAGCCTTCGGGTTCGAAAGGAGCACGACACCAACTTGGAGCATCTTCACGAAAAGGACCTTCGCCTGGAGAACTGAATGTACACGCCTATAAACGTTATAGCAAAAAAATAGCAGAATCAATATGTCTAGAATATAATACGAAATATTAGTTCAAAATTAAAAATGAAGAAGTATTTGAACAAATTAGGTAGCCAATCGCGTGACACAAATTATAGACTTTCTAACTTGCTAATGATCACCTTCAAGCGTCTCCAAACAGGTTGAGAATAAAGATGGTTAACACCCCAAACTTGTCTATCCACATGCCCAACAGCGTTACATGCAGGCCCTAGGTGTCCTCTCATCCCACATATCACCTAATAAATGGAGAGAAAAACCAAAACACCAAAAAAAAAAAAAAAAAAACTTATATATAATACTTATATATATTGTCAATTGCCAAGTTACAATATTCTGAGAATAGACCAAGGTATACACGACATAGTGATTACAGAGGGAGTATGTACCGTGTATCTCTTTAGTTCGTCACCCTCTAGATGATCTACAAAACTCCAATCTGGAACGTAGAGGGTGAAGGTTGTGATCATATAAATGAGAAATGCCACGAAGCCCCCAAACCTAAGCCACATATATGTAACATACATACTAATAATCAAAGCAAGTTCACATTTTCCATTAATCAATTTCAGCTGAATTTACTTTTTTCCCTTCAATTTTTTTCCATCCCTCTTGTAATCAGCATATAATATTTGAAGTTTCAGGTTAAATTGTGTTGCATTTTCTCACCATTGCCATTTATAGGCAGTGAAAATGGATAGGTGTCCAGGACCCAAGGTAGTGGGTCTAAGCTTGGTTGTAAATGTTTCTATTAGAGCTACGACACAATATACAAGGGCTATTCTCTGCACACACAAATTCATAAACGTGGTTACTCAAGAATTGCTTTGCAATGAGATTATTTTGTAATGGGCCAGCATAAATTTAATTTAATTTAATTCGAGCAACACCTGGAGAATGCCACACCATCGGATATGTTTCATGTCAACTCCATAGTCAAGATCATCAGGGGCATGAGAGTAACCACCTGTAGTATATTATGTAATCAAATTTATTAGTACATCAAGATTTATTTACCTGTGTATTTAAGCAGCAATGTGGGTTTAATATGTATATTCACCATGTAAATTAATTTATATGAAAAACATCTCGCAAACAGAAATGCTTCGAAGTTTCAATTATCGAGAATATTGCAGTATACTGCAAGCAAACAGTCCACGTTGCCAATTTCGAATTTAATCTTCTATTCTAGAATAGGACAAACGTTGCCAATCTCGAGTTTGAGCTTCGTTTACCTTGTAAAAGTATACCCCAGAAGAGAAGCTTTAATGTCCTAAGGATTATCTTCTTTACGGCATCCTTTTTCTTGGGGACTCTCTGCATTATTACAATCAAGTTTCATCCATGAACTAAAATTTACATCATCACATGATGATGCTGAATAAGTCTACAACAAAAAAGGAAGAAGCATAACTTGCGTATTAAATAATTCGGATAATCCATGAGTTTTAATCAATACGTATACGAATGAACGACATTGGGAAAACTGGTTCATTAGAAGATAAAGAAGAGCATCTTGACAATTGAATCTTGCATAAATGATCACAATTAAATTACTAAGTTATTTGAGTATTGTTTATTTTATTTTATTTCAAAATTCAATGATCATGATTTGTTATTTCCAGTCATAGTAATCTCTACTTTATTCACAGAAATATGAATAACATTATTGAATTTGACAACTGAATCAGCGTTTTAATTTTATCCTTAAGAAAATTGGAATGTTGGGATTCGTCGCTTCTACTCGCAGTATAAACTAAAGCAAATTAAGATATACTTGTCTTATATCAAGAAATAGTTGATTTATGATAAAATAAGGCAGTGATAATTAACAGTTTTAGAGAAGATTGTGACTGTGTAGTATTATGCATGCATACCTTTAGAGCAAGAGCTATGGCAACCCCAACAATGAAAAGAAAGAAAGGCATAACGAAATCGGCAAGAGTACATCCATTCCATGGGGAGTGATCAATGCGGGGATAAGCTTCACCACCATCGTCCACCAATATCATCAACTACACACACAAGTTACAAAAAGGAAATATCAACAAATCATCGAGACCTATATCCTAACTCACATTAAATTTAAATTTAAATCATATTTATTAACTAAATAAATAAGATTAAAGATTTTTCAAAGACATATTTTATTAAGAAAAATAGATTATTTAAAAATATTTAAATCTAACCTTATAAGTTGGCTTATTTACATAGATACGAATGATGATATTATAATTATTATTGTTATTTTTATAGTATTAAAATTTTACTTTGGTATTTTAAGATTACATGCCTAATTTATTTAAAGGGTCAGGCCTTTTAACTTATTAAGTTTAGCAGTCTTTGTAAAAGAACTTATTATACAATAAAATTTTAAGTCTAGTTAAATTTTTAAAAAATTTAGATCATACCTTAAAAAATGTTAAATTTGATAAACCTATCAAACTTGGTAAATTTTAACCTATTAAATTTTTTTATCAATACATTTTTTATAATTAGTTAAAATTTATTAAAAATTCTATATTTTTCTTACTAATTTATCCAATAATATCTATCTATACTTTTGTAATTTTTTATAAATTTTATTTTTATAAAGTCAAAAAAATTTATTTAATGACAAAGTGCGTTAAAAAGAGTGTTATATTCTTAACACTCTATTTTTGAAAAAAATTGTACATTTTGGGATAGACACCTTTAGACATCCTCTTTGTTTTAGGTGTAGATTTAAAGATAGATGTATACAAGAAAGATAAAAAGTAAGAAAAAGATAAAAAAAATAGTAATATATGATATTACATAAAATATATATTTTTAATAGTTCAAATAATAAAATCAAAAGAACAATTCTTTTAGTCATCTTTAATCATAATTAGAATTTTATTTTAATAAAAAACTTTAACTTTAATCGGAGAACAACACTTGCACCTAAATTTTATCTTTTTTATCGTGTGCTCAAGCGTATGTATTAAGAAATAATTTCTTATTTTACTAAAAGTGATAACATTCAATATTATTAATATATTGAATTATATAATATATTATTATCTTTAACCAAAAAAATCATTATCATGTGCAGTTAAACACACCATAAAAAAAAAAAAAAAAACTTTTAAAAGAGATTAACTGTGAGTATGCGTAAATTAGACCTTGGATAGCTACTTGTTTGTGAGTATATAATTAACCAAATCCTATTCCTCTCCCCTGCATGTCGCTGGATTAACTATGCACAAAATAATGTTTGAGAAAAGAAAAAGGGTTTGGAGTACACAAACCACTATTGTGAGACCCCTAAATGCATCAAGAGTTGCAACCCTCTTCCTCTTTTGCTTAACCGCTGGTTGCTCCTGTTCTGCTATTTCATCCACACCCTTAGCCATTGTGTCTTTCTCATCCCCAATGATACAACCTCCGTTATTGTTATTGTTATTGCTCTTAATCATTTCTCCCTTACCTTCACCTTTCAACGCTGGATTGAGCCCTTCTTCCATTCTCTTGGACTCTTCATCCATCGCTGAGTGCTGAATATTCAACAAAGTTCAAACCTTTCCTTCTCTCTTTCTATTGGGTGGTATAAAAATAAGAGTATGTTAGAGATGGAATTAAAGAATGGACAGAGAGTTCCAAAATGCAGTATTAGGCCGGCTGTGTTGGCCTTGTCATCAAGTCAATGTAGAGTGGGAAATATATTATGTAGTACTCATATTATATATATAAATAATACTAGTAACATATAGTTGCTACGCTACATATGTAAAAGACAGATGAAGGACTTTAGAGGTTTAAATTATCGTTGAAAATTGTTAGCATTTGTTAAATTATAATTAATAATAAGAGATATATTATAAAGAATATGTTGTTTGTATTTCTCATTATCATTTGTTAAATTAGTATTAACACAAGCTGGTGCGTGCTGATTAGTCCAGCCCAATTTTGTTTCTTCTGCTTGGTCCCTCATTGCTATGAACTTTGACTACGTAGAACTGTTTTGTCTGTCTGTATGCCAAAGATTCCTCTTCATCTTATTGCTTTGACTAAATTTTCATAATTTTGAATAGACCAAATGCCCCCTCCACCCTTTTTCTGTATTACAGAAAACTTGCGTCTACAATAGACTTTCTCATTCCATTGTTCCCTAACCTTCTACAAAAGTTTCGTAAGGGAACGATTCTAGAAATAGTAGTGGGTACCCAAAATTCAAATATAATAACTTTTGCTATGAATTGTGTGGAGTGTGAAGAACATGGATTGGTCTCCAATTCCCATATATCATAATTTTAAATTTGAAAACTGGAATTGAACGTAGGTTGGAAAAGGTGGAGCACCCAAATTGTATGCGATTCTCACATGCGTTGCTATTTTATTCAAGGGAAGATGAAAATGTTGAAACCAACTCATTTTCCAGAAACGTTGGTGGCAGTGATGGAATACCAAAACAAAAGGCGTTCCCTTCTCTTCAACATGTGATCAGTGATCAAAGGAACAAAATGAAGTGTGGCAACAAGTGGTGAGGACGATCAATAGCTTAGTGCTTCACAATATTTATTTCACTAAGAACCACATAAATAAATAAAGCTACAAACTTGAAACAAAAAATGAACAAGGTTGTAACAGTTCGTTTAGTTACCTTTTTCAGCAAAAATAATAATGTCTTACTGCAAATATTTACAACACAATATTTTGTTTCACAAGAAATTAGCCAATTACCATTACATGCTCTTAGTGATTTTCTTGATATCTGATTTTAGTTCTCTTATAATTTTAGTGTCTCTAACTTTAATTATTCATGTTTAGTTGTTCACAATTGATATTTCTTTGTTTGTACAAATTGGGTGGTGTGGCAAGCCCAATTGCTGTTAGGTCCTACATTTTAAAGTGAAAGTTGACGTGGGCCTGCAATATAGGGAAGGCCTGAGACTAAGGCAGAGAGTGGGACTTGAAAAGGAACCTCAGAAGGAATGAACTTTATTGTAACTACCAACTTTTATAGTGGTAGGTACTTTTAAATTAAAAATGGTAATGATAAAAATGTAAATAAAAAATCATTTAAAGTTTTGAGAAAAATATATACACCATTAATTTATGTAGAATTAAAAAAATATATTAAAATGAAAAAAAAAATCTAAAAGTGTTATACAGATGTGTATGACTAATTTATAAGAATTCAAATTTCCACTAAAAAAAACCCATATCTCTAAATATATATAAAATTTAACTAGGCTTGAAAAAAAATTTAACTATAATTTAAGAATGTAAGCAACTGAGAGTTGGAAAAAATAAAATTGAAAGCAAATTACACATTCAACAGCCTAAAAGATTCTGTCCCAACCATAAATCCACTAAAAGCTCGTTTCAATATCGTTCAATAGCTTTTTATTTAGTTTGATTTTTTTTTTCAATTAATATAAACAACTACTTATATTTTATCTCTTGATTTTTAAAAATTGTAAATTAAATGACAAAAAACTTCAAATACTTTTCACTATTTTTATTCGAATATTTTAAATATAAAAAAGTAATATTTAAATAAATAATAAAAAAATAAGAAATAGAAATAAATCATATAATCGAACAAAGTCTGACTTTTGTCCTAATTTAGTTTATTAACCTTTTTAATAGCTTATATTTAGATATTTAATATGTTATTAAGCTTAAAAATAAATATATTATTAAACTATCTAAATAAGTATATTTTTTAAAAGTGATAAGACTTATATATAAATAAACTAGTAAAAAAAGATATAATATAAACAAGTGCGAAAGATTATAAAAAGATATGAATGAAATGAGACGAACTAGTGATAAATATAATTGAGATAACATAATGTAAATTAATATTATGCGCATAAGATATGCAATAAAAAACTCCAATAATTAAAGTTTTTTTTCTTAGAAAATATGTAACAGAGATATTTTTTAACTCTAACAAAAAAAATTAGAGTTTTTATTTTGAGATTTTATTATTCTAAAATTTAATTAATTTAATATATTATTATATTATAATTTTTATATAAAATTATTTAATATATTATTATAAAATTTAAATACATCATTTTAATAAGTGTAATTGACTTTTTTTAAACTCAAATTTAATCTATTTAATTAATTAATTTTTAAAAAAAGACTAAATTAAAATTATTAATTAAATAAATTAGATTAGACTAAAATTTAAATAAATTAGGCCGTAAATCCTATCACACGGTCAAGCTTATTTAAATCTCTATCAAAGATGATAAAAATAACTATAATATAATGATATTTTAATATTATATAGTTATTAGTTTATTAAAAGATTTAATCTAATTGACCTGTCAGATGTCTTTCTCACTTCTTCCACACCCAACAAAAGCATCTTTCTCACCATCATACCTAAAACGACCTTCCTTTTAACTGACGTAGCATCTGACGACATTTCTTGGTTTTTGTTAGTCATTCATATGCAAGATTTTTAAAGTATTCCAGTAAATAGTTGAAGTAAAAAAAATGGTAGAAAGAAAGAAAGAAAGAATAGTAAAAGAAAAAAGAAAAGGTTTTGCTAACTTTTTAGGATGTGTGTTAAATTGTTCAACATACGTGATATTTGAACAATTATTTTCTTATAAGGTAACTTCTATGTAGTTTTAATGTTTTCCTATTCGCAGATGTCCAATGAAATGTGTTGACCCAATAACAGCTGTAAGCATGGAAGAAGAATTGCAGAGAAGACTATTTCTGAAGGCATGTTTTGTTCGGGGTACCTTAGTTCGAAATTGCTAAAACATCGTATCTTATATTTAAATTGATAATTGTGATTTTTTTAATATTTTAAAAATTAAAGAATATTTATATTTTTTAAAATAAATTATTAATTATGAATATAAAATTAATAATAAAATGTCCTGCAACTTAGAAGCTACTGTCTAGTAAAAAAACATGCCTACCTGTGTTTGAACAATGGTGGTGATGCAATATATTCGCACGATAATGTCCCAAGCCTTTTGGCTTTCATAATGATTACTTTTGTAATAGAGCAAAGAAAGATTAGATATGCTTCTCTCTACTCCTCAGATGCTTGTACTCATCTGCAACATTTGTACATTTTCCACATTACCTTAATATCAACTAGCGTGCAATGGACAAATTATTATGGCTTGTTACTATATATGATGCATTTTGCTATGAGTAACTCAGCTATATTTTACTACCAAATTGTTAGGATATATTCTATTATGTCTTGTGCAAGTTTTCCAAATAGTAAAATTTTCCATTTTTAAAGAGGCCTTTCTTTCCAAGTGAGCTTTTTCTTTATCATGCTCTTCCCTTTTCATTTTTTAATTCATACTTAAATGATATTTTTATGATTGAATGATGTAATAACATTTTAATTTTTATTTATCATTTATTATTAACGGGTGTAAACATTTATTTTAAAGCTATAAGAGATATAAATTGCATTAAAGTATTATTTTACGTAATTACTAAACTTGCATTTATTATAATTAGCAATAAAAGAAAATTTTCACAATCGTTAACCTTGCTTGAAGTGGATTAAAATCACGATAGAAAGCAAACGTCTATTTCTCGTCAAGATCGAAAAATAATGTCTAGTCATTTTTTCCTCTTTATTTTCCTCTTATATATCGCTTTGCTTTCCATTGTTGAAACAGTGTTTAAAAGTGTGATTTTAGACCCTTTTGTTTTGGTCAACTAGACTCCTTTGAATCTAGTAGGAAATCACATCTGGGGGTAAAAATTTGGAATTTAATTATGTTATTTAAACAATTAAAAATTAACATATGTAATATTATTATACAATTTTTAATAAATTTATATATAAATATTTACTTTATCTCTAATTTTTTTACATACACACATTTTAAAAATACACTAAAAACATACAAAAAGACACACCTATAAAGTTCATCTCCTCCAAATGTTAAAAACGCATTTCTCTTTGAACTTGGATTCTCTTCCACTAGCTGTCCGTCTATGTAATGAGAAAAAGCACATGACATATGAAATAAGTGGATCCCATGTAGAACCCATAGCTAATCACTTATTTCACGTATATGATGGAATTAATGCATAGAAAAGAAAGGAAAATATAGATAATGATCATTAATCACAAAAAGCAACCTGTATACGATGTGATTTAAAAATGATAGAAAGAGAAAAAGAAAAAAGATGAGCATAAAGAAATGGGATTGAAAAAGAAACACACGAGGGATTGAAGCTAAAGATGATGAAATTGGAGTTCCTTCATTTTCGTTGTAACTCTCACTGACGCTCATTGTTGGCCAAATCTGAGTCATTGGATTTCTGATCATTTCTCTGATAAGTTAAAGTTATGGCCATCCCCAGTTTCCCACTGTATCCCGTCTCTTCTCCACTAGTGGCTGGTTGAAAACCCAGCACCGCGTGAAGTGCTTGTCACTTTCTCAGTTCATATAATTGTACTTGGCACACTATTATATATTATGACACTTATTTTTTACATTCTCACAAAATATTTTTACAATATATATACTAAAGTGTAAAAATGAACAAAATAATTCATAACTTTTAATGTATTTTTTAAATTAATAAAGTAAATTGTTTATTCTTTGTGCTTTTGTAAGAATTGTTACAAAATCATTTTTAAAAAAAGAATAATTACTGTATTTTTTTTATAAAAATTATCATCTCTCATTTTTTAGAAAATTCTTTCCCTGTGGTACCTTAATTTCCTCAACCCTGAGTCAGACCATAATCATTTATTCCGTGTGCAACTTTTTTTTATCCTCACATGTAGGGAAATAATCTTCATGCTTTATCCATATAGACCCACCCCATAATATATACTTGCTCCTCCCTTCCCTCAATTACCTCATTACCTCAGCACCGTTATCCACAACAACAACAGGGGAAATGGTGGTGGGCGAGTTCACTAGTGTTGGTTTGAGAGCAATGAAGACATCCTTCAGCTACCATGTTCTCACCGGTCGTTGGTTCATGCTATTTGCATCCTTACTAGTCATGGCCGTTGCTGGAGCAACCTACATGTTTGGCATATACTCCAACGAGGTGAAAACCTCTTTGGGCTATGACCAGTCCACACTCAACTTGCTAAGCTTCTTCAAAGACCTCGGTGCCAACGTTGGTGTCATATCGGGGTTGATCAACGAAATAACTCCACCTTGGGTGGTTCTCTCAATTGGGGTCATCATGAACTTCTTTGGCTACTTCATGATATATCTTGCTGTCACTGGCCGCATTGCCAAACCCCAAGTTTGGCAAATGTGTCTCTACATTTGCATAGGTGCAAATTCTCAAACTTTTGCCAACACAGGTGCTTTAGTCACGTGTGTCAAGAACTTCCCAGGAAGCCGGGGTAGTATTCTAGGCCTATTAAAAGGTTATGTTGGTCTAAGTGGTGCCATCATCACACAACTCTACCATGCCTTCTATGGTGATCAAAATCCCCAAGCTCTTATTTTGCTCATTGCTTGGCTCCCCGCAGCGGTTTCCTTCCTTTTCCTTCCAACAATTCGGATATTGAACACTTTACAACAACCTAAGGAGAACAAAGTTTTCTACAACCTTCTATATATTTCACTTGGCCTTGCTGGGTTTCTCATGGTTTTGATTGTTATTCAAAACAAGCTCAGTTTTTCAAGGATTGAGTACATAGCCGATGGCCTTGTGGTTCTTTTCTTTCTTCTTCTCCCACTTGTTGTGGTTTTTAGAGAGGAATTCAACCGTTGGAAGCAAGGAAAAGTGACCGATTCAGTACCCCAATTGAAAGTAGTCACTCAAGTTCCACCTCCAAACGTGGCATCAACCTCTACCACAAGCTCACACGAGAAAAATTCTTGTTTGGGGAGCATACTCAAACCCCCAAATAGAGGAGAAGACTACACCATTTTGCAAGCCTTGTTTAGTATTGACATGCTAATTCTTTTCATTGCAACAACTTTTGGTGTTGGTGGAACATTAACGGCCATAGACAACCTAGGACAAATTGGACACTCCTTGGGATACCCAAGTAAGAGCACTACAACCTTTGTTTCCTTAGTGAGCATATGGAACTACTTGGGACGAGTAGTGTCTGGCTATGTCTCCGAAATTTTCTTAACCAAATACAAATTCCCTCGTCCCTACATGCTCACTCTAGTCATGCTTCTCTCTTGCGTTGGCCATATTCTAATTGCCCTTGGTGTTCCAAACTCTCTCTATTTCGCTTCAGTGATTATTGGGTTTTGTTTTGGAGCTCAATGGCCATTAGTATTTGCAATCATATCAGAAATCTTTGGGCTCAAATACTACTCCACGTTGTACAATTTGGGAGCGGCGGCAAGTCCCGTTGGGTCTTACATTCTAAACGTGAAAGTAACTGGTTCTTTGTATGATAAAGAGGCTTTGAAACAATTGAAGGTCAAAGGGCTCACAAGACAAGCTGGGAAGGACTTGACTTGTGTGGGAGTGCAATGTTATAGAATGGCTTTTATCATAATCACGGCTTCAACGCTGATTGGTTGTTTTGTTTCGTTCATTTTGGTGCTAAGGACAAGAAAATTTTACCAAAGTGATATCTATAGCAAGTTCAGGGCTGAACTTGAAACAGCAGAGAATGAGACGGTGATTACCAAAAGTGGTAATGTTCTGTTTGAAACTGAAGGACACGCTACCACGAGCGGCTCAGAGGATCATGCTAGAAACACTGCAAAGTGAAGTTTGTTTAATTAAGGTTTAGCTACAATTAATTAATGCCTGGATTTTTCTTGGACATTAATTAAGTTCGATACTGTAGAATTATTGATATATATATAGATAGTAGTTGCTTGTGTCACTCGGCGAAAATATTTCTTTTTTGAAATGAAAATGCTGCATGCGTTTAGGTGTTTGATTCAATTTTGGAATTTCAGTATTTGAGAGAGTGCTGTTTTTAGGCTGTTTTTCATTATACTTTGTTTTACAAGCATTAAAAAGCATCAATTTTTAATGTTATCATTGGTCTGGTATTTTATAAGAGTAAAGTAAAATAAGACGAATTAATTCAACTAAGTATTATTCTTTAACACACATAAGAGTAATTGAAAGTTTAGAGAATACTGTTCCTTTTTTTCAAGTTATTTTTTGTTACACTCGTTCAAAAATAGTATTATTTTCTCTCTCTTTTTTCGAGTAATTTGACAGCATACAGAAGTATAAATAAAAATTGTTGTCAATTAAATATTAATCTTTCACAAACATAACGATATTTTAGATGTTAAATTATATAACCGATCGGTTTTCAAATTATTACTATTACTATAGTATTTTATGTTTTATAATTTATTTTGAAAATAATTTTTTTACATTTATTAAGTTGTTCACACTTTGTTGATTAATAAAGAAATAGAAAGGGATGAAAAGAAGAATAAATGAATAAAGTAAAGAATGGTATTAAAAATGCGTATCAGTATATCAAAATTAATTTATTTTATTATAAGTTTGATTTATTTTTCAACTCTAACGCCGTAAATGAAATTGCGGTTGCTTTCGAAGTATAATAAAATGTAATAAAAAATAAAACAATTATGTATATATGTACGTACCACATATGATAAATTTTAAAAAAAAATCTAAGTAAAATAAATCTTTATTGAACTCCATTAAGAATAATTTAATATTTTTTTATTTGAATTACAAGCGTAAACTTAACACTATAAGTTAAATTTCAACAACTTTATGATTAATTTACGTGCTTAATAATAAAAATAATAATTTAATATTATTTATAAGAAATAATTTAAATTAACGAGATCGTTTATTTATATATTAAATAAGTGGCATTATATTATATTTTAAAATATTAAACTTGAAATTAAAAGATAATAACTATTATTTTACTTTAATTAAAAAAATATTTTCCATTTGAACCAACCCACACCACTTATTTATTATCACGGCGAGTAATTTATTCATCTTTCTGTCAAATCAACTTGACTATAAAGCAGCAGTTAATTTATACACATCAAAAGAGATTAAATTATATCAGTATAAATTGTATTAATTTTTATATTATTTAATATTTTTAATAAATAATTAAATTATTTTTATAAAATTTATTTCTATATGATAAAATTAATATAATTTATATATTTTTAAAAATATATAAAAAATTTACTATATTTTTATTATTATTCAATTGTAATAAAATGTTACATGATAATTACTATAATATATAATTATAATTTAACTATTAGATTAAATTTTATATTTTATATAAATTATTTATAGTGTAATAATTGGTGCTTTTTATATTAATATAATTTATTTGTTTTTATTAACATTTATTAATTTTTAATTTCGTCCTCATAAATTACCGGTATAATTGGATAAACATTTGTAGTTTTCATGATCGATTATTTGAGAATCGAAAAAAGAATCAAAATCATTGGTAGTGCTCGTAACTGCTACTAATAACATGATATCCATTGATTAAAATTTAAGAACTCTATTTTATTTTCAGACATATAAACAGGCACAAAGTTATTTTTATGTAAAACCGCTCTTTTATTCTTTTTTACTACTTTCAATTGTTAAAATAATAATGAAAAAAATGTTAGGCCTGTTTGTATTTACAGAACGATTACTTGTTAATCCGTTACTTCACTTGTTTTTGTTTGTATAGAAAATTGAGATAAAAAATTTTATGCAACACTTTGTTTTTACTCTTGGTTACTAAAATTTTCACAATTATGTCCACCAATAAAACTTATAATTTATTTCTCATTAAACACGTTATACGTTTTAGCTACGAATATGGAGAATGAATCAATTGGTGACGATCGATTTAAAGATCTGTGGCTAAACTATGTCAGAAAAGTGTAATTACATTTGATCATTGAATGATACAAATAATTGAATAAAAACTAAAGTAGGAGCTTAATATTTAGAAAGCTACTGAAATAATAAGTAAAGGTGAGACTGAAGGTGTTGACGAAATTACTTTTAAGCACATAGCAAATAAGATTAAAGGATGTGAGTCTGAATACTTTTCAACATTTCACAGTTAGATACAAGTGGGTTTGGATAGAATGATAATTGAAAATGTGACATTATTAATATCCATTATGTGTTGCAACTACTAATTGGGTGTTTGAATTTTCGTATCCTCTTAATGTTTTATTAAACCTATTATTTTTTAAATTGAATCAACGACCAAGACCATGCCCATGGCAAGGTGAAGACCGTGTCAACAAACCATATTCAAAAATTGAGAAGATGTGGTCGTATTTGGAAGACACTGTGCCCATGGTGTAGAGAAAAAATTGATGATTTTGTGGATAATATTTAACAAGGAAATAAATTGGGTAATGAGGTCAATTAAGATGAGGGTGAGATTTTGCGAAACACATCGATCACACTCTTTTACTCCTCTACTAATGTCTTCTTCAACCTCTTGATCTTCAAGGAAGCACTTGAGAAAATGACATGTCAATAGCATATGTTGAGGTATTTGCAACAAGTGTTAATACAACCAATTAAAATATGGTTTGTTTAAGTTAGTTCATGAAATAAATAATTTTATTCTAGATTAACTAATAATAAAGTTCTTTGGGATGAACATAAAATATGGAATTTGACAAGTTCTAATTGGATTGAAGCAACCATTGAGATTGCAAAATGTCTTACACTTGTAGGGTTGTTGCTTAAATCTAGATAGGAGGAGAGGGTCGGGTGAAGATTGATAACAAGGAACTCATGGTGAAACTTAATGCTGAAAAGAATTTGCAGGTTTTGTTTTGTTAAAAAATATGTGTGTATACAATTTTTTTTCTTATTCGAATAGAGCATAAATGTGCTGAAATCTTGTCATGATAGAGACAATTGTGAAACATTAAACTTTAATAGTTGATAGGTACTATGTTTAATATTTGATAATAAACATATATTTGATAACAAACATTATACTTGTGGTATAGACAAAAATTAATTTATTATCTAAAAATTATAAAAATATATTCAATGCTTACTTTTTATAATAATTTTAAATATTTGATAGGTACTATGTTTAATATTTTTGAACATGTGTTTTTGAGTGCATGTTAAAAAATAAATTATAAAAATATGTATGAAATTTATTATTCTATTTATTTTTAGCACAGAAATATTAAATAATATAGAAATGTTGCGACAAGTGTCATGTGTCTTTGGACATCTTGAAAAGCACAACGATTTTGGTGGTGATGGAGATAAGAATTCAGGTCATCACTGTAACTCATGAGCCACAGATAGTGATATGAATTAGGAGTTTAAGTTGTGTCAAATACAAATATATTAAGAATTAAAATGCATGCCACTATCCATACTAAGCCTATCGTCTCTCATTAGGACATCTTTTTGTAACTTGAGTATGCGATTCAAAATCCTACTTATATTCTTTTCTTTTTTTATATTTTCTACTACTAACAAAATTTAAATATCTCACATTAATTAAAGTTGTTTTTTTTAATAAATTGTTCTCAATTCATTTATAACATTCTTTAATAATAAAACTTCCCTTAAATTCTAATAGGATTTAATATTAAAATTGTTCATGAATTGTCAATAATTGAATATTTCTTATTTCATGAATTGATTATATTTTTCGTTGGATATATATATTTGTAGATAAACGACGAAACAAGTTGTTTCATTTTGACCAATCCCGCTTCCCCAATAACTTTAACTTGTTTAAATCTTAAATAAGCTGAAGTCAATACTTTTAGGTGCGTTGGCTAATTAATCCGCTTAATGATTAAAAGTTTTGAACTAATATAAATTAAATAAAAATGATAAAGTATATAAATATATATTTTTAATTAAATAAATAAATTTTTATGCTGATATTCATTTAGTAATATCAACATCTCATAACTTAAGTTTAGTGATATCAAGTGTGATTTGAAAAAAATAAAATATTATTTTCAACTAAATTTACTTTTACTCTTAAAAAGCATGTTAGACAATTAACAAAATATTATAAAATTTGTATTAAGTTAATAATTTTATAATAAAATTTAAGTTTAAATATAAATTTTGTTTCTATAAATATAACATATTTTATGATAAATTTTTAATTTTTTTTTGTTAAAATTTAGTTTTTATTCACAATGCGTTCTGCTTTCAAACTTGTATATATTTATATCTAAATTCTCAATAAAATGTAAGTTTTTTGACTTGCTGCCAAGATGCTCATTGAATTTTTTAAATCTAAAAAACAAAAAAGAAGATATTAGAAATAAATAATTTTAAAGAATTTATATATATAAATATTTAAAATATATTCAAAAACTTATTTATAAATATTAATTTTAAATAATAAAAATTAAATAATATAACAATATATGACTGTGATGAATTAACTTTATGTAAGCCAATTCAACAATTAGCAACACTAAATACTATATTCATAACTAAATTTAAACAAAAATTTTATAAAAATTTATTATAAATCATTGTTATATTTATAGAGGCTAAAGATATTATTAAGTTTAATATATTTTAAAAATTAAATAACATAGTATTAATATGAAAATACAAAGTTAATTATAGAGCACTTAATAAAAAAACTGATAACAACTACTAAATTTTAATATTTTAGAGACTAAGTCGTAAAAAAAACTTTATAAAAACTTATTTAAAAATGTGTTATATTTACAAGATTAAAATTGTATTTAAATTTAAAATTTATTGTAAGTTTATTTTTAAAATAAAATTTGAAATATAACATACTTTACTTTAACTTGTGTTTAAATAAAAATATTTTTGTAAAATCAAAAGTATCGAAAGTCGTTTTTGCATACATATACAGAAACGAATGGTTATTTTTTGCGTGGTAAAAAAATATTACTTGTTACTTAAATAAATGTATGTGATGGTGATATGATTTGGAGTCCGTGTTATATATTTAGGGTGGGTTTGGATATGAGTCAAAATTATATATACATATGTTTTGGCTACACATAGTTGCTTCGAAAATAAAGATGCACATTCAAAGCATAAAGGTGCTGAACCAAACATGCATTTCGTGTTTACGTTTACTGTTTAATTGAGTCTTGATGATAATGATTTCCTGTGAAAGATTACACTACTAATATTTTTTTTTAAAAATGTCATGTTTTTAAAATTAAATTTAAGCAAATAATAAGAATATTTTATTAAAAAATGTTTATTATATATTTATATTTTTCATATGATACATATATTTTTATAATAAATAATTACTTTTGAATGTTTAAAATTTTAAATGTAAAGATTGATGTTAATAAAATTGTATAAATATTTATCATATTTTTTAATTCAACATTTATCTTTTAATTTTTTATTTCTAACATTAAAATCAACATAAAAGTTACCACCTAGCACTTTTAATGATAATAAAAATAATTATGAAAATAAATTATTTAATAATCAAAATTCAGATTTGTAATGTAAAAGCAAAAATTTAATATACATGATAACAATATAATTTAAAGACTTTTTTATTATTAAAAATTACTAATATACTACTTTTGGTATAATTTTAAAAAATAATCATTATTTTTTCCAATTATATAAAATAATGACTTATTTTTAAATTAATTTCTATATTGTAAACGAGAGTTTACAGTTTAGAAAATCTAATTTTCTTTCATAATTTATTGTGTATACATCTTAGGAATAAAATCTATTGAAAATAATACTGAATTATACTTTTTATTATTACGATTGTTTTATTTTTTACCAACATTTTTATTAATATCATTTTAAATATTGGAGATAAAAATGATCTTTATTACTTTATATAAACTTTTAAAATTTTCATAAATAATTTTTTTTACATTTATAAACATTTTATACCTGTCATAAAATTTAAAATTTCTTTTAAATATTAATGTTTACATTTATGAAAATTTTCTTATTATTTTATATAAATTTAATTTTTTAAAAATTATTTATATTTATAAAATTTGTAATATTTAATGTATAATTTACAATACTTTCAATCAAAATTTCAATAATTATATTTTTTAGTTTTATGAAAAAAATAAAATAAAATACTTTCTTCATTAAAAATTACATTGTTCTCAAAATATACATTGTTTATCATATAATCTCTATCAAATTTTTTATTTAATTATAATAATTTTTTAATATTAAAATATTTGTGATTCTTCTCATATAATATAATATGATATAAATTATACTTTTTTTCAAGATATATATCATAGATTTATATATTTTAATTTTTGGTAATAGATTCAGATATTTTATATTTATAAAATTTTATTCTTTAATTAGTAAATAATTATTTATTTTAAATGAAATATTATGTGTTACGTGAGCTATTAAAGAAATATTTTTTATATTATAATTATAATTCATTATAGAATTAATTATATATATATATTTAATATATAAGAAACTAATTTAATATTATGAATATTTTTGGACAAAATATAATTCAAGGTATATAATAGTTATTTTTCACTAATTTTAAGAAGTTAAATATTTATTTTCTTCTAGAGGTAGTATTTAATGTTCACGTTTATTATTTCACTGTATCTAAATAAGAATGTTTTATAATAAATGCAAATATTTATAAAATTTTAGTGTTTAGTAGTTTATCTTTTGCGTTTATTATTATTCTTTCTATTTCAAACTAATTGATATTTAAATTTTTATAATAAAAAAATACTTTATTTAGTAAACAAATATTTTTGCTGGTAACGGTAAATTTTTTTAATTAAAACGTCACTGAGTTTTTAAAGTAAAATGAATAGAACAGAAACAACTTGAATATAAAAATTTTGATACTTGATGATGATGATACGTGGCTACTTCAAACTCCTCGTTCTTCCCTCACAAGCCAGAGAGGCCAACGCGACATTATACTCAGGCTTTCATTAACACAAACTAAGCTAACATAACGTATTTTTAAACTTAATCCAATGTATAAATTACAAAGCATAGGCAGTGTCTCACAAAATAAAGTTTAAAAACAAAGGTTTACCAAAAAAAGAAAGTTAAAAACAAAGAAAACAAGGTAAAACTAAAAAGCGGTTTGTGTGTGTTTGATGCATAAAAAAAGAAGGGAAAAAGCTGAACTTGAATTCAATATTTCAATTGGCAATTAAGCAGATAAAGAAAAGGAGGAAATGCTCCTCAAACTCAAAGAAAAGAATCACTGTTTCTAAAACGGATTGTTGTAGTCTATGATGAATAATCATTTTCTTTCATTGCCATTACTCCCATTTGCACCTCTCTAATCTCCGCAAACAACTAACTACACACCCACACACATACACACTCTCTCTCTCGCAAACACAAACACACACTCTCTCTCTCTGCCATTCCCTTGATCGCTGGAACGCATCTCCGACCAATTAACCGTCGCCATTCCGGTGATTCACCACTCTGATCCTTACGGAACTCGATACTACGCCTTTGTATTCTCAGATCCGTCTTCGTTCTAGTTGTGATGCGAAAATCGGGGGAGGAGGAGAAGCGTCCATGGAATAGGAAGATCCTACTTCCGAATTCGTTAGCTTAGGGTTAGGGTTTGCAAAATCGTTCTCCAAACATGTTTAAGAGAATCATGAAGGGAGGGCAAAAGAAGCCCTCCAAGTCCGAAACAGATGCCTCCGCCTTCGGCTACGGTCCACCGGCCAACAACGCCCCCGTCACTACGGCGGTGACTGTGCCTCCGCCTTCGGGGACCATAGAACTGCTCCCTCTCTTCCGCGACGTGGCCGTTTCCGAGCGCCAGAACCTCTTCCTCCGGAAGCTTCAGGTATGCTGCCACGTGTTGGATTTCTCCGACACGCTGAAATCGGTTCGGGAGAAGGAAATCAAGAGGCAAACGCTGATGGAGTTGGTGGATTTCATTCAATCGGGTTCGGGGAAGATAACGGAGACTTGCCAGGAAGAGATGATCAAAATGGTGTCGGTGAACATTTTCCGGTGCTTGCCGCCGGCGTCGCACGAGAACACCGGCCAAGAACCCACCGATCCGGAGGAGGAAGAAACATGCTTGGACCCCTCGTGGCCACACTTGCAGCTCGTGTATGAGCTTCTTCTCAGATACGTGGTTTCTTCAGATACTGATACCAAGGTTGCTAAACGGTATATCGATCACTCTTTTGTGCTGAAATTGCTTGATTTGTTTGATTCTGAGGACCCCCGAGAGCGTGAGTATTTGAAAACCATATTGCATCGTGTGTATGGAAAATTCATGGTTCATCGCCCGTTTATTAGGAAAGCCATTAACAATATCTTTTATCGGTTTATATATGAGACGGAGAGGCATAGTGGTATTGGGGAGCTTCTGGAGATTCTTGGCAGCATTATTAATGGGTTTGCATTGCCAATGAAGGAGGAGCATAAGTTGTTTCTTGTGAGGGCGCTTTTGCCTCTGCATAAACCGAAGTCCATTGCTGTCTACCATCAGCAGTTATCATATTGTATTGCTCAGTTTGTTGAGAAGGATTACAAGCTTGCGGATACTGTTATTAGGGGTTTGTTGAAGTATTGGCCTGTCACCAATTGCCAGAAGGAGGTTCTCTTCCTTGGAGAATTGGAGGAGGTGCTCGAGGCCACGCAAGCTGCAGAATTCCAACGCTGTATGGTCCCTCTTTTTAGACAGGTTGCCCGCTGCCTCAATAGTTCTCACTTCCAGGTTCGTGGAAAAATGTTTTACATGATGTTTTGTAGAGTTTATGCAAGTTTTTTTTTTTTCCCTCATATATCCTCTCCTTTGGGTAATTAGTTTATAGTTTTGCAATTCTTCTTGTTGAATTGTTTCGTTCTTTATGAAGATACATCTAAACTAGGCCCGGATATGATATAATAAACTACGGGTAATATAAGGTTCAGCTGCCTAGTTAGTAGTTACTAGTTAGTAAAGTTTAACTGGTTCATCCTTTAGGTCCCAAACTCTACTGTGATTGTATTGAATCTATGTTTTCCTCTAGTATTGTGGATAGTTCAGTTGTAGTTTTGCAATTTTCATCTTAGTGATGTGTTTGTTGATGGGGAAAAGTAAAATAAAAAATAAAAAAATCTATAAAGCTATCTATCTGACTTAATTGGCTTCTACTCTAACATGCAGAAATGCAAAATAACGATTCACATGCATATATTTTTCTCTCATACAGGGGTTATAAATGGATTTTTGTTCTTCTTGAAAGCTTAGTGTTGAACTGGAAAGGTTAACTGAATTGAAGTTCAATTGATGACCATTAATTAACTTCTTACTTTATGAAATTTGTAAGTGTATGTTATATCTTTTAAACATTGAAAAAATCTCATAGTAGTGGTTAATGGCTTACGTTGCAATTCCAGTAAAATTTCTGTTCAATAACTGTAATAGTGAAGTTTGTGGTTTGAGTTGTGCCATATTTAAGAAATCTTTAGTTATAGATTTGTTTCTTTCTTAACCTTACCAGCATTGTTTTTTTTTTTTTTTTTTTCTCTGTTGAGGTGCATGCTATGATATTTTCAAAAATGGCAGCGAAATTGAATTTTACGTTCAGCAGAACTGTTCATATTTTTAGGGTTCACATTTTCCCACCCAATTTATTGGGTCACATGCAATGTCTGTTGTGATCTTTGAAATTGAACACATTCCCCTATAATTGAACATGATCATTTGCAGTGTGATAGCTAATGTCCAAATCAGGGGTTAACATTGATGAAGTGGGACTCACATACAAGTCATATGACCAATCGGATGGGGGAAAAACTCTTAATGAACTTGTTTTCTGGGAAGTTATCATTGGCTTCTCCATTGCATTGTTGTCTACGACCTCTATTTCTTCCTCCAGGAAGAAATGGAAAATATTTCAATAGAGCATAATCTGTATGAATAAGCTGCTAGCATCACCTAACATCTTCCTTTCTAGTCTCTACAAGCTCACCCATAAAATACCTATATATACCTTTCGATTTTAGAAAGTCTGATATATGATGTGGCTGAGCTTTCAATATATCTGGATATAATGGTTGCCGGTTTGGCACAAATCATTGGAAGTTAATATGCTATCACTTCACCCAGTTTGTTTTTTATTACTAGGTGGTTATGAGCACTCATTTTCTTCATTACCATGTGCTATGTGTGGTTTTCTTTGCGTATCTTTGCTGGGGTTGACAAAGAGTTTGTCTAAGAGATGGTTTTAATCTATAATTAATTATGTGTGTTGTTGAATATTGCTTAAACAGAATAATTACGTACCCCTTGATAACAATTTCAATGTGTCGTTTTTATCATTTATGCCTGGTTAAACAAAAGTAGAGTTATTTGGAAGCTCATTCATGACTCCGTATCTCCAGTCAAGTTAACCCTTTCAATTCATCTTTTCCTCCATTTGTTCTCAACAAGGTACTGATAGTTGTAATCTTTTATTTATCAACCATGGTTTTCATTCTAATAACTTGTACTGAATTTTAAAACTATTATCTCTTGGTTTCTTATAAACTCTTGGTTGGCAGTATTATTTTTTGCTTAAATGAAAACAACTTCTACTTTAACTTTGCCCTTCACAGCCAACTTAAAATTCTCAACATTTTGAAAACATCCTTGAATTTTGGTAACTCCCAATAATTCCACTTAGTTTCAAATCGTAACTTGAATTCAATTATCCAAACCTTTGAATCACAAAATTGAGAAAATTTTTACCTAGGGGTACACTTAATTAAACTCCTTCATACCCTACCTCAATTGACCTTCTTTCCTTTCTTTATTTCCTTCAATTTTTTAGTGAATGGAAGTTTAAGTTGGTTAATTGCAAAAATTACTGCCCCTGATTTATATTATTATGCTTTTGAATTTAAAACTTTAGTGTGTGTCTGTTCAAAACTCTTACATTGTATTTCAATTTAACCTCTTGGCGCTCTTCTCTTTTTCATTGAGTTCATTAGGCTTCAGTATCAGCTTATATGTGCTTATGCGCAGATAAGTATTTTTATATCGTTGCATCCTTTCTTGCAGTTCAATAGTAATTGATGTAGAATTGTCTCTTTAAAAATAAATTAGATTCTAGAAGTTTGTGTATAATTTTTTTACTGACATGGTTAGTAATAAGGTTTGTGCAATTTAAGTTTGCATCAGGGCTGAACATTTGTTCGTTTAAGACATTAAATTGTTCTTATTTTATAAAATACAGAATATATTAGAAAATTAAATGAAGGGAGAAACCTATGAGCCTCTTTACTTTGAAAAAATGTTCTGTTTTCGTTTTTTGTTTCATTTTTAATTACCAAAATGCCATCTGTTTTGATTTTGGTTTTTTCAAAGATTTATATAGGGGGTAGTAAAATTCTTTTTGTTGTTTTCTATACAAAATCTTTGAAAACAAGAAATAAAGTGTAATGATGATATATGTACTTGTTTGGAAATTTGTGTGGAAATGGAAATTACATGTACTTTACCAAGGAGTAGTCTTTGTGTCAAATTCTGCATAGACGAAACATTTTCATTGCACGTGTCAAATTTCATTTTTCATTAAAGTGAATTGGTACTTTTTGTTAGATTGTTTGATGTCCACATGATGCTCAATGGGGAAGAATTTATTGGATAGCATTTATTGGTACTACTGCTTGGCAATAATCAAAATACAAGCAAGTTAGCAGAAAACCATGATGTGTTAACTATTAGAAACTTCTTTTTAGTTCCCTTCAATGCTCTTATTTCATTTTTGGACACAAGAGTTAGGTGGTTCTTTGTAAAAATGAAGACCGGGAGGGAGGAGTTGAATTGATTTTCCCCTTTAAAGATTCCAAAGCTCAGTATTACTCGATTCCTTCCTATTTCCAGCTTTACCAAATGTGGTCTTGGTCATTAATGATTATTTGAGCTTAAGCTTGTCAGATGGGGAAAACTTGAAGGTTTACATGGTCTTGACCCCACGAACATCTAGTGGTTGTGGAAATGAAAATAGTGTATATGTGTCGTGATAGGTGTTTCTCTGCTTAAGGATATTTAAGTTGATTCTCATATAATTCTTTCATTAAGGTGTTTTCTATTTATTTTTTATGGTCTGCTGTCATTGTAGTTCTAAGTTATTACTGGATTCAAGATCTTCTACAGTTTTTTACTTTGAACTGATTCTGTGATTATCCTTTGCAAATCTTATCTTTCACATTTCATAATCAAAATACTGTGGACTGAGAATCCTGATCGCTTGGAATGGTCTTTTATTTATGTTTTAAATATATTGCATTATAGTTCTTGTTATATTGATGTAATTAGTTTTAAATCATCCTTCAGAAGTCTATGCTTAGGCACACTTTGCGTGCAGGTTGCAGAACGAGCACTCTTTTTATGGAATAATGAGCACATTGTCAGCTTAATCGCCCAAAACAGGACTGTAGTATTGCCGATAATATTTGAAGCAATGGAGAAGAATATCCAGAGTCATTGGAACCAGGCTGTTCATGGGCTAACTGTGAACGTTCGGAAAATGTTTATAGAAATGGACGCTGAATTGTTTGAAGAGTGCCAGAGGCAGTATGCAGAAAGAGAGGCTAAAGCAAAAGAAATAGAAGAGCAGCGGGAATTGAATTGGAAGAGACTGGCAGATGCGGCTGCACAGAATGGGGCAGATATGGTGACGGCTTAGCCAAATTACTTTACTGCCCTAACTGGGAATGTGAATTGGATAGGTGAAGGATTGTACGTGCTCCTCGCCATTTTGGTGCCATTGTTTATTGGTTTCTTTCTTTCCCGCTTAATTTCTTTTTCCTCTCTATTTTCTCATTTGGATAATCAGCGATTAATGTAACTTAAAAATGTATTGGACGTTGTTAGCAATGTCTGCAGATTAAGAATGTTTTGTGAAACACTTTCTTGTATTTTTTGCCCCCTACAGAGAGAAATACGGAAAATTTCTTTTCCTCTTGGAAACACACTCTAGTACCTTGTGTTTGTGGTGCAAGAAATACGGAAAATGTAGTCTTGTTTTTCCTTTCCTTTTCTTTTCCAAATTGCACCACATAAATGTGAATTAGTTGTGCTTATACTTTATGATTTAGTTGAGTGTAAGTAATACTATGAACCAGTCTTTTTAAGATACTAGTTAATAAAAACAAAAAAAGTTTGTCCACAGGGGAAATCTCCATTGTCGTGGAATGTTTATTATCTTCTATGATTGCTATTGTGCCTCAAATTATTTTCTTATGGTTCGTTCTCTTTTTTCAATATACATGTTTTGCTTGAATTATAGACAATTTTATGGTGTAAAAGGGCTGGTGATTTAGTTATTCGGTGTCCTGTTTACTTGGCTTTGTCTTTCTTTTATTAAAATATGAAAGACCAAGATGACACGTTTTTTACTTTTAGGAGCGTGGTCATACCATAAACCATCGTTACTACTTTTGATCAATCATCGTTTCTAGATTTAAAGAAATGTTACGGGAATTAAAAAAAAAAAAATTGATGGAAAGGGAAAAGGTAAAAATAAAAAAGTAAATAGTTGTAATAGATGTTGCATAAAGATATGCGATGGATTTTATTTACGTACATATCATTACTATTATAAATTTTATTTGGTAATTGTGATCCCTTTCAGATTCAGTTATGGCACGAGTAGAAAATTGTGGTGGTAACTCTTTGGTTGGTGAAACGACAAGCCGTTTATTGGGTTGAGGCAAGCTTTTGTTTTTGTTTTCATAAACAGATAAAATGAAAAAGAATTTAAGGACTTGACCAAAATGAAAAATAATAAGTAAGGACAAAAATCCAATATCTGTGTTCGTGAGAGCTTCATTTATCGTATCGTGTCTGTTATTGCTAAGAGTGCAGCAGCAGCAGCAGCAGCAGCAGCAGCAGCAGAGTAACAATACGCATAGCATAGATACGAAGATGTCGAAAAAAGGAGGAGGCGCTTCGTTTCCAAAGGATGTGCCATGGAGAGCATCGTCTTCTTCAGCAAAGCCAGTCCCCAAAATTCATCACTCTCCTCTCCTCCGCATTTCCCACACACCCTTTTCCGATTACGCCATCTCCGTCATGAGGGTCTCTCTCTCTCTCTCTCTCTCTCTTGCTGTTTGCTTTTCGCTTTTCATCGTTTCATTCTGCAGTGTTTCATTAACCTTTTTATTTTATTTTTGGGGTGGAATTATTGATTGGGGTTTCTCAGCATCCGGACCCTATAGGGAGTGGATTGGGTGATGAGGCCATAGTGGAAGCAGCTGGTCCTGACTGCATCGTACCTGGCCAAATTATGCCCCTCAAACTACTTGGCCTTCAGGTTCTCTTCTTTCTCTCTTCATTTTTAATCAATTAACTGCTTTTTGGCCTCTTATCGCATTCATTCTTCCCTTTTTATTTTATCACTAACTGTTAGAGTCTTTAGGAACCACATTCTAACCTTTTAGGAGGATTTTGCATCAATCCTTTTAAAAAGGACTTCAAAACAAATTCAAATAACAATGTTTCAGTGAAACTGTGCATTGTGTTTTTTTTTTTTGTTTTCGAGGGTGCTTATTGAATGGAAGCTCTGATTGATTGATGGGTAATGCTAGAAAACGATTGAGCAAGCTTCACGGCTGCCAAGTGAGAATATCTTGATTGTGAATTGGAAGTTCTGGCTTTTTACATTTAAAACTGATTTTAGCATGTCTCTATTAATGTTGAACGAACGTGCATAATTTCCAAAGCAATATCAATTATTAATAGTAAATGAGATGTGAATCCCTTTGTGATGATGTCAATGATAGTGAAAAACATCGCTGCAGGCAAAAGTCAGTTTCAGTAGTTTATGAAACAGACCTCTGAAAACCAATGAGAAAGACTGAATGATGCACACTCACATGATTGAACCTTGCCTCAAAACTCGACTGATTTTTACTAACAATGTATTAACATTTGGAGACACGTCTAAGAAGTTTTAAGCTCCAAAATGCAATCCATTGGAAATATTTTTTTACTCAAAATAGCCACGCGCTTAATGCTCTTCTATGAGTTCTTGAAGTCATTACTGATTTGGTTAATAGGAGTAGGAGAGAGTTTAACTGTTGGGTGTTTATTTTTGCGTACATGTTGTTCTTTTGACGCTCTGTTTTAAACTGAGTTCCCCCAAACAACTGAGCAACAAGAATGGGCGATGGCCCTCACCTCATGAGCTACAATCACAATATTAATAACATCAACGCATACACCTCAGAAATTTGGAACTCCCTGCACAAATTCTTGCCATATATCCTCTCAAATGCTGTATGGCGTTTGCTCCACTTGTGGCATATTCTTCTACATCTGTTTGTATCAATCTTAGTTTTTTGTTTTTTTTTCACGTCTTCAATTTTTTTATGATATTGATACCAATTTCAGTATTTTGAAATGAACATATTTATCTGTTATTTAGGGTTAGAATGTTTGAATATTTTTCCAAATCCTAATTTACAACTACCTTTGTCTTTGAAAACATATCCTTGCATGACAATTCATCTCTTTAATATACTAATTCCCACTGCTCTCCATTTTAACTTGTTTATCAAAAGCTCTCCCAGTAATAACATGAAGAACAGGAAAAGTAGGCTCTTGCTTGAAATCTTTCTATGAAACCAGAATGCTTCTCTTCCATTTCTTTCCAAAGTAACCGATTTTAACAAACATCAGTGAAAGACATAATGTGTTATGGAGTAGTAACCTAGTCTAAAATTATTAATCCGTCTTTGTATGTGCATGCCAAAATTCTATTTCCTGCATTTTATATTATTCAAAATATTATTGTGACCTGAATTTGGACTGAATTTAATATTTTTTGATTTAACTGTTATTGGCTTTAGATAGTGTGTGCAGGCTCACATTCATGCGATTAAGTCTTGTGTAATGTGCATTTATCAAACATTTTCTTACGCACTAAATGGGAGAGAGGCAAAGGAAGGATCTTTGCCCCATTTTATAATTTAAATGTGCTGGGTTCATCAATGCCGAGCTTTCCTTCTATTAAATTGTGTTTACAAATTCTCTAATATGTATGCTTTCTCTTTTGCTATAATACTATTTAGAAAGATTATGTTATGGCCAAGAAATATCATTTTACAATTTTCTTCTCATCTTCTTGTTTGGACAGGTCTGGCCCATCAGTGTTGACCTGAAGTTTTTGGAACCCGTTGGGCGAGAACTTAAGTTGCTTGGAAAGGTAACGGCCATTTTATAATTTTCATTTATGCAAGTGAAAAAATTGGCACATTTTGAAGTTGATCTTGATGAGTTCTTTGCGTTTGATACTGAGTTACTTGCATATTTGTTATGATGTACTACATTTAATCCAATATATATGTGCATTAATTTGCAAGGAGAATCCGGAAAATGTTATTAATAGCCATATATATGTACCCTTCTGAAAATTGAGATGAGTGATTTGTATTAATTGCACCATGTGATAACTACATTAATCATTTTTAAATATCTGCTCGAACATAACTGCAGTGTGTTTTATAAATACTGCCTTCATGTCAGAAAGATCAATATTGTTGCAGTGGGTTGAATTCTAAATTACAATGTTGCTATATAGTATAAGCATGATAATGTGAAAAGTCAGTTTCACATGTCTGTTAACTGTTGTATTGTGAGAACATTGCCTAATGTTTTGCTCATAAACCCATACTTACGTTGCAATTTTTGTCTTTTTTCCTGGAAATGCTTAGAATTGGTTTAAGCACTTTGTTAGTGCTTCTAATGAACCAGTCGAACCGAAGATACATACAAGTTACCTTGACCGTCTCAGTTGCTTATGCTCAGATTCATTTATCTTTCTGGATACTCGTATTTAATAATTAAAATTTGCCCTGGATATTTACACGTATGTATGAATATTAAAGGTGATATGTTGACGTGAAACATGCAATTCTAAATATGCAATGAGCTGTCATAATTAATAAAGCAGTTGTTTTTCTGCATGCAGTTCATGGATGACGCAGTTGAACTTATGAACAAATCATTCATAGAGCGTTGATATCATAGCCATTGCGAAAAGCTGAATTTTGAAGGGAGGATGAGAAGCCAAGCCGAGCCTCTGTAACATTAGTTCATTTTGTATCTAGAGAATACAATGCGATGTATGAATATGAGATAGCTTCGTTTTGTATATTCACAATTTTCTTCCTCTCCTCCCTTTCCTTCCATTTATACCAAATAAAGAAAACTATATTATCATCGAAAATCCCTTTTTTATTTCTTGTCCCAAATGCTATGGCGCAGATTGCATTACTTTAAAAAGACTACTAAGGAAGTCAAATAAAATCACGACAGTTAATAAGAAGAAAAATATATACAGTCTTAAGGGTGGCAGATCCTTGAATAGACTTTTGATTCCAATTAAGGGAAGAAACGAAACAGCGTCTAACGTTACATTGCAGACGCATGGTTATAGAATAACCGTCAAGGGTATCGCATAACAAGAGAAGAAGAAGCACAACAACAGAAGAAAAGAAGAAGACACATCGAGTCTCTCACTGTCGGACATGTCGTCGGTGTATTCCGGTCCGGATTCTGCCACGTCATCACCGGGTCCTCTACTCCACATTCCCAAGTTGTTGTCTCGGGCAACACCCAGAACGCCGGCGGACATGGTGAGAAGAGCGATGCGATCGGCGGATTTGGGTTCCACGCTATATGCCTTCTCGTACTTAACTTCAAGACCCTCTCCCGAAGCCACGAAGAAAGCACCGTTGACCATGACGTCACCCTCTGACCTCCAGTTCCATCCCTTCCACTTCGACTGTTCCGTCTCCACTCTCTTCGTTACCTCTTTGGCGAAGGGATTGGTGGGTGCGGTGTAGCGGTTTCCCTGGCTGTTGATGGTGGGTTCGCCGCTGCCGCCGATGGCGTACATTTCCCACTGCGTGAAGTCGTTGTTGACGACGTGGATGTAACCTCTCCGGCAGCGGGGCATTCTCTGGACGAGTTTTTGGCCGAAGTGGTTGAAGGCGATGGTGACTTGCATGCCGGAGTCAGGGAGGTAGTCGTCGCTGTGGCCGAGGAGCATGACTTCGTTGTGGTGGGAGAAGAAGTTGTTTGATATGGTTATTCCGGTGGACCCCATTACGGCGTCTATGAGTCCGTCTTTGCAGCGTGATAGGGTGCAGTGGTCGATCCATAAGTCTTTGGATCCGAATATGGATATTCCGTCACCGTCTGACTCTGTTCTGTACCCGTAGTGCTCTGGGCTCGATCGAACGTTTGTGTTCCCTGTACGTGCAACCACCATATTCTCATTTCCAAAACGACTCACTATCATTTTATATTAATTTAATTTTATACAATTTTTTTCTTTTTTTCGAAAACATCCTTTCATAAACTTTTAACTTAAAAGGCGTAGCCTTTAAATTTAAATTTAATAGCAAAACCCACGAACTTGAGGTAAAAAATAGGCTAGGAAGTTACCCTGTTTTGGCACTCAATAGTCAATAGTATTATTGTAAGAAAGATAAGCAATTATAACAATACTTTTTCTATTTCTACACTCATTTATTGTTACACAAATTTATGTAAATTTTTTATTATTATATAGTTATAAGAGAAAAAAATTTATTTTAAACAAAAATTAACTAAAAAAGTGATAATATATATACAGGTGGAGTAATAGACACACTTTACTTGTTTTTAAAACAAATTTTTCAATTGCATAGTCTTTTAAAAAGTTAAAGCAACTTTAACAAATTGATTAATTTACATGGCAACTATTTAGATTAAAAAAATAAAACTAGACCAATTACGTTTGAAGAGTATGTTTAAAGGAGTGTGTAACATATTTTTGAAAAAATATACTAATTTTTACTTAAAAGTTTTACCTTACGTCTTTTTTCCTCTTTATCTCGTTCCATTTCATTATCTCGAAAATTTTAAGCGAGAATAGCATATTTTTTTTTTATCACAAATCAGTATCCTACCTCTGAAAAAAAAAAAGGGTTTTGATTTAATTATTTAAGATAATTTACTTTTTTAAAAGTTATTTTAAAGATTAGAAAAATCAATCTCAAAAACACTGTTTAAACTCTACAAAAACTCCACAAAACAAGCACTACTTTTTCACTATTCACAGGAAAACAAAAACAGTGGCAACCTTGCAATGTGGCTGTCAGTCACTATCCTCATTGACAACATAGAAAAGAACTAACCTGAGGGATGACAATGGTGGATGTGAATATTATGTATGATGACATTGCTTATATACTGCAAAGTAATGCAACCTCCACCCACAATGTGCACATCGGCACCACGCCCATCAATGGTCTTATAGCTGTTAAAAATCAACTCCTGAGACAGCTTAATCATCATGTTACTGGGAAACACGATCCACAGTGGCTCGTCCTGTATCACAGCATATCTTAGCGTCCCAGGTTTGGGGTTAACTACATCATCATCCGAAGAATCTGTAACAACGTAAAATTCACCACCTTTCCCTCCCTTCGCATATTGACCAAACCCAATGGCACAATCAGCTAATCTCTGTCTGTTATTAGGCCAATCTGGGTCACATTTCCAACAATCATCAATTGGGTTCCCCGTTAGGCACGAAGATTCATCTTCCTCTGACACTCCTAGCATTTCCCTTCTTGCAATTGAAGCATTAACCTTCCTACACAACAGAACGGGTCATTCCAATTCCAACTTAAAACTAGTACCGGATCCAACATAGATCTACCCTTTTCCCTCTAAATTCATGTAATGTAGGTAATTTAGCTAATCAACAAAACTTATCTGTAGGTTCTCCACATAAAACTCAAATTTTGATTGAGAAAGAGTACCAACAGCAACCTAGAAACTTCACTTAAGTTTTGTCCTTAACTAAACTACATTGAGAAGTATGTATGAGAGAATGAAGAGAGTAGAGTATATCACGTACCTGTGAACTTCATGGGCAACTGCTTCGGGGTCTGGGTGTGTTCCTGGAAGAGTTAGGTTGAGCATTGCTGTTGCAAGTGGTGAAAATGAACTGAGAACTGAGATTAGCAAAATGCAGGTTGCTTGGAGCATGGTTGATGAAGTGAAGAACGGTGAGTGCTGAGTTAGCGGTACTTTTTTGGTTGCTGAATGCTCACAGTTTCACTCACTTAATTACTGTGGCATGGCATGGCAGGTTGTGCAGAAGTGTTAGCTAGTGTGGGGTTAGGTGAATTAATAAGCATAGAAAGTGAAAGCTTACAATGATAACGAACGAGGTTGGGTGTGAACAGAAGAAACAGAGAACAATCCCTGTGTACATATATTATACAGGGTCACTGGTATTTTACTACCATGTTGGGGGGTGCTGAATAATAATGATTGTTGAGAAATTCTTTTGAATAATTTAATGATTGAAAAAGGAAAAACAAAAAAAAAAAAAAGGGAGAGAAGGAGATTGTCAAGGAATCCTCCTGCTCTCGAGGAAATGGTCTCTTAATTTTGTTTGCGGGACAGACAGACACTGTCACTGTTGCAAATAAGGTTACGCAGGCCCTATCATTCAATATTTACCATCATACTCTCTGTCGAAATTTAAAATTTTAATTAATTTTATACTATTTAATATAATTATTTTCAAAAAAATTATTTTATTTTATTTATTTTTCAATAAATTTTGTTATTTTTGAGATATAATATTAACAACGTTATATAACTTCTAAAATAAAAAAGAGAAAATTTAACGAATTTTCAAAATTCAAGTTTCTTTCTATAAATTATGTTTTAGAGATTTACCATATGAACTTAAATCATTAACTAATGTCATTAAATATTCATAAAAAATTCAATTATCTTTAAGTGATTTTTTTTACAATAAATATCATGAAGAGCATATTAAGAAATCAAGTTTATTTTTATAAAATTATTAAGAACATTATATGAAATAATTTAGTTATTTTTGTTTATATTTAATACCCAAAAAAGTATAACTCAATTTCTATCTCTCTTTCTAAACTACAAGATCTACATATATGAAATAATTTTTGAGATATTACTCAGTTCATAATTAATCTTCCTAAGCCGAAGAATTGTTAGTGTGTTTAATTTTTTTTCCTATATAATATATGATTAGAAATTAAGTGTATGTCTAATTTTAGAGGAATGTTAATAATATAATCCTTTTATTATAATTTTAATTATTTATTAAATTTTATTAAAAATTACAAATATACAAGAGAGAAACATTAATTTAAGAGTGAGAAAGAGTAGAACTCATTATTTTTTAACTAATTATTAAGAATGTGTTTGTAAAAATAAAAAAATGTATTTTTTAAATATTTTTCTTAATCTTATAGTGAAATAATATAAAGATCACTTTTGCATTGAATTAATTAAATTTGTATTAAAATAAAATTATTCTCGATCCAACATGCACTAAATTAGTTTATTTTAGAGACTGTGCTTATTAGTATTGATAACCAATTATAGTGGAATTTTTTAAGAAGTAGATATGTTATTAGTAAAAGCACACTATTGTGAGTTTGATTTTACATTTTCGAGGCCTCAAAATATAATTTGCATGAAAAGGGATCACTTGTAACTTATTTTGAAATTATAATCTGTGAAAAAAATTAGTGAAGCGTGAAATAATGAATGCAGAGAAGAAGGAAAAGGCAAAAGGGTAGGTAGGGTAAGGAACGTTCTTGCAGAGGATGAAGTAGGCTTTTGACTTTTGGACCTAAGCATACATATCAGCACCAATCACGACATTTTCTCATCGTTCCTTAAAATCTAAAGCCTGTAACAATGCGCCGATTCCGAATGCAGACAACAAAGCTGAAAATTAATTATCAAACGTTAGTGTTTTGTCTTAAATAAACTATTTTAATCGATTGAATAATAGAATGTTATGTCTTGAAATATTTTAATTATAATGACGCTATAATGTCAAGAAATTTTTTTAAAACGAGTTATTTTGATTATATATTTGAGTATTAAAATCGATGCTATAATACTACAGATACTTGCACACGCATATATCACACATGCCATCTAATCTAATGATTAATTTCTCAGCAGTTCATGCTGCTTATTCGTGGCCACTATAGTCTAAGGGTGAGAGGATGGAACTCATTCTATCACTAGCATGAGCTGAAGGAAGGTCATATAAATGTACAATCAAATTATTAGCTACCGAAATATATGGTCATAAGATGTCATGCAGTTGAAAAAATAATAAACACTACTGAAGAGCCAGAAGTTAATTCATGGTGTGATAATAGAATTTGTCAAACGTGATGAAATTTAATGCATGGTGGGGAGCTAGTTCAGTGTGTTAACTTTCATGGATTAGTAGTAATATTGAGAGCAGCACTGGCAAAATGGCAAAAATTTGATCGATTGTGGTGGTTCTCCATGTAGTATTGAAAAGCACTTGGTATCTTGAGTCCTAATCATAATAAATTAATGGTATAGTATGTATTATCTAGTTCGTATTCAACTAATTAAGTCTCTTGTAACTACGAAATTTAAGGTGCAAGGATCTCTTGTCACCTAGTTTTTAATGTTTAGTTTTGGCTATTTTAGAGAAACAACTTTTTTCAGCTTTGTAAAAGAATTTTAGAAGAGAAAAAAAAATTTCTTAAATAAAAGCTGCTCCCAAATATTCTCTCCCCTTTCTATGCTATAGACAGCAGCTTCATGCAAATTAAAAAATTGTTGTTTTTGCAATTTTTTTGCCATTAGCATGTTGCTATATATAGGCTATGGTCTAGATGTAATTAACCTTGTGAAATACTCTGTCATTGTTTAACTTGAAGCATATCGATAACGTAATTTACGGAGTTTTATACTACATGATATCATAATTAAGCCAAGACGCATGAAACTAAGAGAAAACTTTGGCCCTTTAATTTTCACGTTAAGCTTTCCGAATCAACCCGTTGTTATGATTGGCGCACCAAATATCAACGTCCTTTTGTTTATCCTTTTTCATTTAAAAATGCCAATAGCTTAAATCGATTGAACAAAAGTCTTAAAAATACCTTGAAAAACATTGTTTCCATTATTCTGACACACGTTTAGAATATTTCGTTTCTGAAAATTTTCGCCCTCGGCCATTTTTATTTTGTTTTTTCAATTTACAACATACGAAAACGTTCTAAAGTAATTAAGCAAGAATTGCTAATACTATACCATGTCTGTGAGAAATGGAACGAAACCACCGTTTGACATGTTTCAAACACTGATTTTTACCCAAAAATCGATTAAAATAATTAGAAGAAAAGTGACAGATCGATTAATAATGTGGGATATTTTAACATCAATTTTTATCAAGTTTCTTTAAAAATCACAAAAAAAAATGAAATTTTTTAGAAAAGGAAACTCAGGCTTGGAGCGTGGTTCCTTTCGAAACCCGGTCCCATGGCTCTGTTTTATATATATAACGTAAACGTTATGTATATAGGAAAAATATGTATAAATACGTATGATAGAATATAAAAGTACAATATTATGTGTTTAAAATAATGGTACAGAAAATGGAACCCCCAAATCAATCGAGGATAACACGGAGGCACATTAATTCATGTCCTACGTCAAACGTTTGATAGCACACACTATCTATTCAATATTTTCTTTTCATGAACATTGTGGCCCCAACACTAAAAGAAAAAGGTCACAAGGGATCAGAAAAGGAAATTGTAAGTAGTAACTATGATATAAAAATCTATAAATGAACTAAACAGTAACGATACAGTTGCTTTTAAGGCATTGTCCTTGTAGATAATATTTATTCATCGTCTATTAGATGATCATCACTTGAACCCCGCATTTGTGTGGGTTTCGGTAGTTTGCATGTTAGGAAAGGACCCCCTAAGATACAAAGTTGAGTAAAATCATCAATATCTGCTGCATATTCCGTTCATATATATATATATATATTCTTTTCGTCTCTAACATGTAAAGTAGAAAAACACCAACATATATGCTACCCTCTTTAGTCTTTGCCTTACCTGAAATGTGGGCCTACCCCACTTACTAAATTTCAAAGTGGAACCATTTTCTTCCATGACCAAAAATTGATGTGTCATGGTGTTGACAATTTGGTCGCTACATGTATAGAATCATAGAATCGGATAAGAGTGAACTTCTTAATCAAGCACTCTACACTTAACTCCTTTTTATTTAAAGCGGTACTCTTATTTCATTTTGGATATGCCTATCTACCCTTTTGGTTATAAAAGATTTGTCTAATTATTATATAACAAAGGCTTTTGTATTCCAATTTATATTGTCGTGATGCGTAGATAATAAACATGTAACGCTCGCTCAATGATTTAGTGCATGTATGTCATTTCAATATTTAAGGATGGTGTCTGATTGTTATATAATTGAGCATGGCTCCGCTGGAATTGTAAATCCTTTTTTGAACGTACGTTAGGGTAAACAGTAAACGTAGAAATAGTAATTAAAATTAATTGAAAATTTATAAATTAAAATTACCTTTTAGACAACAAAGTTAATAAATAATTTATATTATTTATTTCTATCTTCCTTCTGCCTACATTAAAAAATTGGGATATAAAATTATATAATCCAATACAAGAGAAATAGTAAGAGTCTATTTGTACTCAATTGAAAAATATTAGCGTAGAACGTGCATTGGAAGCACATAAACGTAATTTTGCATACATTTTCAAACAGGCTTTAAATAGTTATCACTTTTGTTCATTTTTTTTCTTCTTAAACCAGTTCTCAATCATCTTTTGATTCATTGCATACACAGTGAGGGGATGCAGGACCTTGGTTCTTAATACGCTAATCCATGATGTAAAAATGGTATACAAAATTTGGCTGTAAATAACATAATTGCAAATGAGGTGAGATGAACATGCAAAGCACTGCTACACTGCCACTATTATGTGCACCTTTTGGACTGTTCTTATGAAGTGGACTCCATGGACTGTATCCCTAATTTCAGCCAGGTAGGGTCACCCAACATTGTCATCCACAAACAACCTAATGAATAATGATTATCGTATCTCTTACATCTTATTTTTTTGAAAAAATTTATTATATTATATATTCTTAAT